CCTGTGGGTCCGCCAGGCCTGGCTGGATGCCCACCTGGCCTGGGATAAAGACGCCTACGGTGGCATCGACAGCATCCGCATCCCCAGCAGCTACGTCTGGAGGCCCGACATCGTCCTCTACAACAAGTGGGTCGTGCTCACCCCAACCAGGGGGAAGCAGGGGGGCAGTGCAGGGTGGGGTGAAACCAGCGGTCCTGGTGCAGGGAGGCTGGGGAGCTGTCACCTGTGCAGGGGGAACAGCACGGGGACAACACAGGGGACGTGGTTGGGTCAGCATGGGGTGTTGTAGGGGGATGTGGAGGGGACATGGCGCAGTGATGTAGCACGGGGATGCAGTGGCATGTGGCATGGGGACGTGGTGGGGATGTGGCATGGGGACGTGGCATGGAGACACAGTGGGGAGATGTCACAGGTTGGGGACGTGACATGGCATAGGAGCACGGGGACACGGCACGGAGATGTGACGTGGGGACGTGGTGGGAACATGGCATGGGGACACGGTGGGGACATGGCACGGAGGTGCACACTGGTGCCAGCCCGCAGCCCCTTGCCCCAGCGGGGTTGAGGTCACGGTGGCTCCCCCCCATCCCCCTGGCCGTCCCCGCGCAGCGCCAACGAGCGTTTCGGTGGCTCCATGGAGACCAACGTGGTGCTGCGCTCCGACGGTCACATCATGTGGGACGCTCCCGCCATCACCAAGAGCTCCTGCAAGGTGGACGTCTCCTACTTCCCCTTCGACGGGCAGCAGTGCCACCTCACCTTCGGCTCCTGGACCTACAATGGGAACCAGATCGACCTCCGCAACCGCCTGGACACGGGCGACCTGACCGACTTCGTGGAGAACGTGGAGTGGGAGGTGCTGGGCATGCCGGCCACGCGCAACGTGGTCACCTACGGCTGCTGCTCGGAGCCCTACCCCGACGTCACCTACACGCTGCTGCTCCGCCGCCGCGCCTCCTTCTACATCTTCAACCTGCTGCTGCCCTGCATCATGATCTCCTTCCTGGCACCGCTGGGGTTCTACCTGCCCGCCGACTCCGGGGAGAAGGTGTCTCTGGGGGTGACGGTGCTGCTGGCTCTCACCGTGTTCCAGCTGCTGGTGGCGGAGAGCATGCCGCCCTCGGAGAGCGTGCCGCTCATCGGTGAGCCAGGGGAGGGCGCCGGCGCCCGGCGCCGAGACCCGCAGCCCTCATCGCCCCTCTTGCCCCATAGGGAAGTACTACATCGCCACCATGACCATGATCACCGCCTCCACCTCTCTGACCATCTTCATCATGAACGTCCACCACTGCGGGCCGGGCGCCCGCCCGGTGCCACCCTGGGCACGTCGCCTCATCCTGCACCACTTGGCGCGCGCCCTCTGCGTCTGCGAGGTGGGCGAGAGCTGCGGCCGCCCCCGGAAAGAGGGGACGGGGGGGACGGGGCCGAGGGACCCCCCCGGAGAGGGCGCGGAGCCGGGGCTGTGCCCCCACAGCCGCTGCCTCTGCCACCACCGCGCGGTGCTCAGCAGCGTGGGGTACATCGCCGGCGTCTTCCGACGGCACCGCGCCGCCCAGCGCCACGCCGCCGAGTGGAAGAAGGTGGCCAAGGTGATGGACCGCTTCTTCATGTGGGTCTTCTTCCTCATGGTCTTCCTCATGAGCGTGCTGGTGATCGGCAACGCCGCCTGACGCCCGCCCCACGCCCGGTGCCCCCGGCCAGCCCATCCCCACGGTGCCCACGGAGCTCGTGCCCAGGACAGCACTGCAGGGAATAAAGCTGGCAGTGCATCCCCTGCGTCCCACCTCCTGACCGGGCTGTGCAGAGCCTTGCCCTGGGGCTGTGCTCGTGTCCACGCATGGATGTCTGTACGGATGTGTGAGAACAGAACAAGGCTGCAGGAACACTTTGGGGGTGTAGTGATAGAACAAGGAGGAGCGACTTGAAGCAAAAATGCCGTGGGAACCCAGCGGGACCCTGTAGGGCTGCTCCTGCCTGCCTCCGTCAGGATGCTCCGGCCCAGCTCATTTCGGGCGCTCCCATCAGCTTCCTCTTCTATGCGCCCATTTCTGTCCCTGCCCATTCCCCCAGCCCTGTCTGTATCTATGTCCACATCCGTGTCCTTATTATTGTCCATCTCTCTCTTTGTGACGCCATTCAGCAGCTGCCACATCCCAGTACAAACGACATCCATCCGTATGCACAAATGGATCCTGGGGGGCTCTTGTGCTGGGAGCTCCCTGGGGGTCCCAGCAGACCCCAGCGCCCCAGCAGTGCCCACAGCAGTTGGCAGCAGCGCTCCAAGGCTGCCTGGTTTTCCCATACGACACAGAGCAGCTCCAGGATGAGCTCCGTGTGGGAGCAATGAGGCGCTGAAGGCTCCGTGGGGCTCTGAGATCCAAGCCTGAGTGGGGCTCTGCTTGCTCAGCCCCAGGGAATGAAGGGCGCTGGGGGCTGCTGCCGGCAGAGCAGGGGCTCAGGGCTGGGGCACATCCACATCCTTATCCATGTCCACATCCATGCCTGTGTCCCTCTCCAGCAGCTGCTACCTCCCAGCACAAAGGACATGCATCTGTATGTGCACATGGATCCCAGGGGGCTCCTGGGCTGGGGGTTCCTCGGCTGCTCCCTGGGGTCCCGGTCGCTCCCTCCCACTCCAGCAGGATCTCTCTCAACTCACCAGTTCTCACGCTTCTGTCTGCACCAATGCTCTCCACAACCCCACCGTGGGGCAGGGAGCAAACGGCCGAGTGCTGCAGAGCTGCTGCAGGCTTAAAGCACAGCAGTGCTACTGCTGCTCAGTGCGGGCTCCAGAGGGCTGAGATAGCAGCAGATCTGAGCAGAGGCTGTGAGAGCAAAGACATTTCTTTGCGCTGCACTGTCATCATTATTATCAAGTAATGACATCAAGTCACTTAATTGCAAGGTGCACGAAGCTCAGCAGGAGCAGCGCCGGGTTCTGCACCTGCACAGAGTGTGGGACAGGACAGAGGAGGGCTGCGGAGATGGGGAAGGGTCTGGAGGGCCAAATGGGGGAGGCGCAGCTGGGGTCCATGGGGGTGTTCGACCCAGAGCAGCAGAGGTGGGGCGGAGGTTCATGGCCCTACAGCCTCTGATGGCTTCTCAGAGCCCAACAGCTCCTCACGGCCCTACACTCCGTCACTGCCCTACAGCCCCTCATTACCCTACAGCCCCTCACGGCCCCACAGCCCCGAGCCGCAGTTCTGAGCCCTGCTCTCCGCTGCCACCCAGAGGCTCCATGCGGCGCGGCGCTGCACCACGGCAGGCCGGGTGGCGCTGGGGGAAAGGCTGCGCCCCATCGGGCGGCGGTCGCGGCCCCGCTCGCAGCTCAGCGCTGTCCGTCCCCGCGCGGCAGCACGAGCAAATCTCCCCGCGACGACGAGCAGCGCTGTTTCTCCCTCCGCTTCCGCGCCGGCACCGAGGCTCCATCTCCTCCCAGCAGCTCCGCTTCTCTTCCTTCTCCTTTCCGATCCTCGCCGCCGTCCCGACGGAGGGCCACCGAGGAGGGGCTGCGCTCCCGGGCTGGCGGCGCTCCGCGCTCGGCCGGCCGCTTCCAAACAGCAAGCAGGCACTTCTGCTTCGGCCCCTGTCCTGTTCGGCGGCTCCGCTTGCAGGGCCCCCGGCGCCTGCTGGGCAGCAACACGCAGCAGTGGGGACAGCGGGAACAGCAGCGGGACAGGGAGAGCAGAGCTGTGGGGGCGCTGCGGGGGGAATCTCCAGGGACAGCGGGGCGCTGCTGCCATCCCCATCCCTTCTGCCGAGCCCAGCTCTTCTCCTTCCCGCAGATGAGAAGAGCCCCGAGTGCGGGGCAGCGCAGGTAGCAGCTCTGCGCCGACCATCAGAAGCGCCCGCAGAGCTCCTGGCAGCGCTCATTGCTGGGTGCTCGTTTAGGGCTCTGGCCGCGTTCTGGGCTCTCGGCACAGGCGAAGGGGCTCCGGCCTCGGCGGGGTCACGGCAGACCCCGTGCTGGCGCCAGGCCGGCGGGTACCCGATGCCGTGCCGGTCCCTGCAGCCGTTGCCGGGCACGGAGGCGAGCTGCGAGGGGCAGAGCCGTGCAGGCAGGCAGCTGCAGGCGCACGAGGGATGCATCGGGACAGCCTGCACGGGCACGGGGCGGCTCTGTGCGCGGTGCCACGCTGCACTGCGTCGGCACAGCCCGCAGCCCCTCGCCACCACCCGGCCCGGGGGCTGCGGGGCTCTCGGCTCCAGGATGCGGCCGGTGCTGGGGAGCGCTGCGGGGTGCGGGAGGGGGCTGGGGAGCTGAGCACGGAGAGCTGCAGGGCTCGAGGCGGCGTGAGGGGCAGAGCCCAGCGGCGGAGGAGCCGTGCAGAGCGCGGCCGGCCCCGCAGGAAGCAGCCTTCTCCGCAAGGCGTGAAAAGCCCGATTCATCCTCTCCGAAAGCGGTGTGCGCTGCTGTGGGTTGGGGCCCGGAAGCCCTCGTGGTGCCCAGCGAAGGGCCTCGGCTGCGACACCTCCGGACCCGTCCTCAGCCGCACGGCATTGGGGCCGGCAGCGCTCAGCACCGCGCAGCGGGATCGGGGCAGCACTGCGGGTTGAGCTGCCCCACAGCCCGGGGCCCACACGGCCGCCTCAATCCCGGGCAGACCCGGGTCCCCACACGCTCCCAGGTCCCACTGGGACCGGTATGAAGCACTGCAACACACAGCACCGACGTGCTGATGATCGAGGTTTAATGAGAGAAAGAAGAGGGCACCAGCTGTGGGATGAGGCGCAGCCTGGCTTCAGCACACGCACGGAGCAGCACAGTTCTGCACGCCGCCGGCCCTTGGGTGCACGTCTCTACCCATCCCCACCCTTGGGTTCTGCTGCTGCCCTGTCCCTGCACAGCCCCGCAGCTTTGCAGAGCTCTAAGCTGCTCCAGCTTCCCATCTCCCCACCCCCCAGCCCCACCTCCCCAGGTCCCCACTCCCCACAAACAGAGATGTTCCCTTTGCCTCCATGCTCCTCATCCCCTTCCTTCCAGAGCTGCTGGCCTGGGGTCACCCTCTGTGCCCCCATGCCCCTCTGGCACGTTTGGGGCAGGGCAGGGGGGGCAGAGGTGGCCCACGGCTGAGCCCCAGCCCCACCTCCTGGTGGCCCCGACCCCACTGCCCACTCTGAGGCTTTAGAAGCTCACAGTTGTAGTTGCTCTTCGTCTCTTTAGAGAGGAGTTTGATTTCACTTCTGCCTTTGACGATGGAGAACTTGGTGACCTTAAAGACTTCAAAGGGTGGGATGAGGACTTCTTCCTCAGAGGGGAAGAAGGACAACGGATTGATGGAGACACCATGGCAGGTCTTGATCTCAAAGAAAGTGTCTTTCCCAAACTGCTTTGCAGCATTCTCGTCTGTGGAGGCGGAGGTGAACTGGCCGAAGCGCACAGTTTTGCCTTTTTGGGCTGTGAAGCGGATGCCCCGCACACCGCGGTAGACGCTGTAACATTTGTCGGGATTGGATTTTCGCAGAGCCTGCAGCGCCTGGGTCAGGAGGAAATGCAGCGTCTTGAAGTGATACGACTGCATGTAGTGCTGGTGGGAGAGTCCGCCCTGACGTGTGTCTGCGTTGAACTTCTCGCACATCCCATCTGCAGCACTGTACGCCACCACGGCGATGGCCAGATCCATGTTCAGCTTTGGGCAGTTACTAGGATTTTGGCAGATCTTCTGCCATTCTGCAGCTGCCTTCTTCCAGGTCTTTGCATAGTCCTTGTTGTTTTTGATCTCCGTACGGTTCACCTCCTGTATCTTAGTCTTCATCTGATTCTCGCAGTCTTTGTATTGGTCATCAAAGGAGTCGGGGGCCATGTTCATCTTTATCTCAATGGGGTCGAGGTCTCCGTCGTGCAGGGCGCTGCTGGCGGCCGACGTGCTGAGCAAGGTGCCGGCCAGCAGCACCCAGCACAGGGCGAGGAGCTCCATGAGTGGGAGCTGGCTGGGGGAGCGGCGGCGGGGGCTGCAGGGAGAAGCGGAGCAGAAGCATCGCGGTGACCTCAGGACCCTCCAGATCCCCCCCGACAGCACAGGGAAGCACCCCAGCCTGCGTCCCATCCAGGGCCCCCGGGCTCTGCCCCCCCCCGCTGCCCCCAGCCTCGGGCCCACGGCTGCCGTTCCCTGCTGCAGACAAGAAGGTTCCCCAGCGCAGCCCCAGCAGCCGCAGTGCCGGGAGCAGCCCTGGAGCTGCAGCACGCTGTTACCTTTGCTCTGCTTCAGGCAGGACCCACGGCGTGATGCAGCTGCAGGACACCCGGAGCTGGGCTCCCACTTTGTAGAGCAGCCCCAGCCCGCGTGCCCTGCGTAACTCACCCGCAAGCACCCCAAACTGCCCCGCTGTGGCCAAGTGGTTCAACGGCTTCCCCCAGGAAATGTCCATGTTGAGCCATCCCCCTGGCCTTGGTGCACGTGTGGTTCGCGGTCCCACGGGCGCTGAGATGAGCGGCTCTGGCTCCGCAGCCCTCGGTGCAGAGGGGCTCCCAGCAGCTGGCGCTGGACCCGCTGAGCTGGGCTGGGTGGGATGGAGCTGATGGATGCTAGGAGCCGGTCGGGTGCCGCGTGTTGTGTTTGGGGCGAGCGCGGCTTCTGTAAGGGCTGCTCTGCCTGCGGGGAGTCTGGGCTGCACCAGGAGCTGCAGGGCACAGAGCCGGGCCGGCTGCTCCAAAGGCCCAAGGGAGATCCTGGAGCACAGGGCGCCGTGCTGAGCTGTGAGCTGGGCACTTGGCCCTGGGGCTGCTGCTGCTCGGGACCGGCATCAGTCAGGAACTACCGAGCCATTGCCTTGGGCATCCTTTGCTTTGCTTTCTTCCTCTCTTCCTCTCTATCTCTCTCATCAAACCATCCCGCTCTCAACTGACAAGCTCTTACAGCTTTATCTGTGCCACTGCTCTGCCCTATCTCCTGGTGGGGCAATGAGCAAACGGCCGAGTGCTGCAGAGCTGCTGCAGGGTTAAAGCACAGCAGTGCTTCTGCTGCTCTGCTTCCAGAGGCTTCCAGAGGGCTGAGATAACAGCAGATCTGTGAGAGCAAAGGAATTTCTTTCCCCTGCGTATCGCCGTTATTGTCATGTAATGTCATTAATTCCTTTAATCACCAGCTGCACGAAGCTCAGCAGGAGCCGTGCCGCATTGTGCACCTGGGACGGGGCTCTGAGTTCAGCCCTGGAGAGGGACGTGAAAGGCGACAAGAAGGGGCTCTACAGGTACATAGGCAGGAGACAGGGCAAGGTGATGAAAGGTAACTGATGAGGGGATCTGGCTTCATAGAAGAAGCTGAGGTGCTCAGGGAGCGCTTTGCCTCAGTCTTCACGGGTGGTCAGGCTTCCCATGTCTGCCAGGGCCACGAGCCTCCAGGTGAGCGTGTGGGGAGTGGGTTCTGTCCCACTGTAACAGTGCAACAGGTCCGAGTCCTCCCGAAACGGAGTGTGGAAAAGGCCTTGGGGCTGGGTGATATCCATCCCAGGGTGGGCAGAGAGATGGCTGATGTGGCTGCCGAGCCATTCTGCATCATATTAGAAATGTCATTTCTATGCAGTGAAGTCCCCAGGGACTGAAAAAGGGAAACGTTGCTCCCATTGTTGAGAGAGAGAGAAAGGAAGACCTGGGGAGCTACAGGTCAGTGAGCCTCACCTCTGTGCCTGGGAAGATCGAGGAGCAGATCCTCCTAGAAGCTGTTATATGTGAGATGAAGAGGGGATTTGACACTGCCACATGGTTTCAGCAAGGGCAGATCTTGCCTCACCCATCTGGAGGCCCCCTGTGATGGAGTGACGGCTTTGGTGGGCGGGGGAAGGCGGTGGATCCTTCTACCATCTACCTGGCCATCTACCTGGACTTCTGCAAGGCCTCTGACACGGTCCCTCACCACGTCCTGCTCTCTGAATTGGAGAGGCGTGCATCTGAAGGATGGACCGTCGGCTGGATGAGGAATTGGCTAGCTGGACGCGGCCAAGGGCTGTGATCCATGGCTCTGTGTCGGGCTGCAGGCCGGCCACAAGCGGTGTCCCTCAGACGATGGCATCGAGTGCAGCCTCAGCGAGTCTGTGATGACAACAAGCTGAGCGGTGCAGGCGATGGATTGGAGGAAGGGAAGCATCCAGAGGGAGCCGGACAGGCTGGAGAAGTGGCAACATGAGAACACAATCAGGTGCAATAGTGGCCGAGTTTTTCTTTGAGAAAAGAAGACTGAGAGGGGACCTGATCCAGGTTTATAAATATATGAGGTCTGGGGGCCATAGTGGTGAGGCCAGGCTCTTTTCAGTGGTACGTGGAGACAGGACAAGGGGAAATGGCCATAACCTGCAGCATAGGAAGTTGTGCAGCAATGTGCGAAGGAACTTCTGTACAGTGAGGTGAGGAGCACTGGAACAGGCTGCCCAGGGAGGTGGTGGAGTCTCCTGCTCTGGAGATGTTCAAGACCTGCCTGGATGCCGACCTGTGCGACCTGCTGTAGGGAACCTGCTTTGGCAGGGGGTTGGACTGGATGATCTCTGGAGGTCCCTTCCAACCCCTACAATTCTGTGATGCTATGAAATAACTCTCCCTTGTTCCGCCAGTCCAGGTCTATCTGAGCCACCTCAATCCTGGCAGCTCGGTCTGCCTGATGGTTATTTTGCTGTTCTTCAGTAGCCCAACTGCTGGGCACATGAGCATCTACGTGGCGCATCTTTACAACCACATCCTTTATTCAGGCACCAGTGTCTTTCCACAGTTCATCAGCCCAAATAGGTTTTCCCCTCTGTTGCCAGTTGTTCTGTTCCCACTGCTGTAACCACCCCCAAAAGGCATTTGCTGCCATCCATGAGTCAGTGCAAAGATAAAGCATTGGCCACCTCTCCCGTTCAGCAACGTATAAGGCCAGCTGGACAGCCTCTACCTCTGCCCATTCCTTGATCCTCCTTTCCCTTCAGCAGCCTCTGCCACTCGCCGTGTGGGGCTGCACACAGCAGCTTTCCATCTGCGATGCTCCCCCACCATACGACACGATCCACCTGTGAACAGGGCGCCTTTCATTTTCTGGTAGTGCACTGTATGGTGGGGCCTCTTTCGCACGTGACACCTCTTCTGACGATGATGTTCCAAACTTTTTATCTTCAGGCCAGTCCATGACCACAGAATCACAGAAACATGCAGGTTGGAAGAGGCCTACAAGATCATCCAGTGCAACCATCCACCTATCACCTATAGTTCTCACTAAACCGTGTCCAAAATCCAGTCCACGATGACCTCTAGGATTCCTGGACGGCTGAGGTTCCCCATCTCACTCGCTGTGTAATCAACGCAATCCTCTTACTCCAAGTGGCATCAGTAGCATGATGGGTGGAGGGAACCTTTCCTTTAAACATCCAGTTCAGCGCTGGCAGTCGAGGTGCCAGAAGGAGCTGCGTTTCAGTGCCAATTACTTCAGAAGCAGCCCAACCCCCTCGTATGCTGCTGAGACCTCCTTCTCAGTTGCAGTGAAGCCCTCTTCCGACCCCCTGTAGGCTCCACTCCGGAATCCCAGGGGTCGGCCTCGGGTCTCTCCTGAGGGTCTTTGCCACAAACTCCAGATGGGCCCTTTCTCTCCAGCAGCAGTGCAGAGGATGTTCTTTACACCCTGTCCCATCCATACTGGCCCCAGGGCCACGGCACGGGCTGCCTCTTGTTTAATCTCTTCAAAAGCCTGCTGCTGCTCGGGACCCACGCAAAGTTGTTGTTCCTTCACATCACTTGATAGAGGGGGTGATGTACAAACTGTACAGGCTGTAGTTTGGGATGTGCATCCTCCAAAAACCCACTGCACCCAGAAAAGACTGTGTTTTCTCTTTGCTAGTGGCTGAAGACCTAGTGGGCATGTTGTCTATCCCGTCTGTGGGATGTGGCGATGCCCATCTTGCCATCTTACACCTGGGAACTGAATCTCCTGGACAGGTCCCTTCACTTTGTTTCACTTAATAGCAAAACCAGCGTGCAGAAGAACTTGAATTATTGGCTCCCCTTCCTTCAAACTTCCTCTGCTGTCGCCCCACACAGCGATATCATCGATGTGCTGCAGGCGCTCAGGAGCACCGCCCTGTTCCAACGTGGTTCGGAGCAGCCCATGGCAAATGGTTGGGCTGCGTTTCCACCCCTGGGGCAAACGGTTCCCTGTGTACTGGACGCCCCTCCAAGTGCAAGCAAACTGTGGCCTGCATACGACAGAACGGAGAAGAAGGCATTGGCTATGCAGGGGTGGATACCACATGGCTGCTTTTGACTGCAGTCCATACTGCTGTGCTGACATACCTGGCACAGCACCAGTGCTGCGGGTGTGACTTCATTCAGGGCACGGTAGTCCGCCGTCAGCCCCATTCTCCACTGCTTTTATGTGATGTCATGATGTGGCATAACGACAACAAAAAACACGAAACCACAACACCTCGCCCAAAGGGGCACAGCCTGTATTTTTCAGTCCTTTTTTCGCCCACAGAATGGTAGGGGCTGGAAGGGACCTTTGGAGCTCATCAAGTCCAACCCCCCTGCAAAACGGGCTCCCTTCAGCAGGCTGCACAGTGGGCGTCCAGGCAGGTCTGCAATATCTCCAGAGAAGGAGAAGGAGAAGCCACAGCCTCCCTGGGCAGCCTGCTCCAGAGATCCGCCATCCTCACTGTGGAGAAGCTTCCTATGCTCCAATTTATGGCCGTTTCCCCTTCTCCTGTTCCCACAGACCGCTGACAACACTTCAGCCTTGTCCTTCGGGCTCCCACGCTTCAGATATTCACAAGCATTGGCCAGATCCCCTCTGAGTCTCCTTTTCTCAGGGCTGAACAGACCCATGATACTCAGCCTTTCCTCTAAGCGGAGCTGCAGGCCCTGCATCATCTCCATCTCCTTTCCCTCTCCTGTCCTGCCCTCCCCTGACATCTGCAAGCCATTCCATTGGGGCCAGTCCTGGTCATGGAGAGCAGAGCTCAGAGCTGCTCCTCTGCTGCCTGTGAGGGTTGCAGGGCCTTGAGAGGCCGTAGGGACAGGAGGGGCTTTAGGGACACGAGGGACTGCAGGGAAATTAAGGGCTGTAGAGGCATGAGGGGCTGCAGGGACAGGAGGGGCTGTAGGGACGTGAGGGACTGCAAGGACAGGAGTGGCTGCAGGGCCTTGAGAGGCTTCAGGGCCTCGAAGGGCTGTGGGACAAGAGGGGCTTCTGGGCTCCTCACTGCCAATGGTTTCCAGGCTGGTTCGGCCCAGTTCCGTGACTGGCGGGGCTGAGGGATTTCACAAAATCTGTGCCTCCGGAAATAGGGAACAGGGGACCCCAAAATAATTAAAAACAGCGGCAACGATCTGAGGAGAAACAAACTAATTTACTAAATATGGTATTGGAATGCCAGATAACACAGTAATACAGTACAATCAGAACTGGAGCTAATAAATCACATACAGGGAGAGAGAGAGAATGTCTGAAAGGTGGAATGGCCTCAGCACAAGGCTGAGGTGAGATGCCTGGTCCAGCTGAGCAGCAGGGAGATGGGAGGAGAGCTGGCGAAGAAGAGCAGGCGAAGAAGAGCATCGGGTGCCCTTGCAGGAGCTCTGTCTGCTCTTGTGACCGCAGAGTCCAATGGGGAATGCAGTTCTTCTTCTCAGAAGCACAGAATCACAAGGTTGGAAACGACCTGCAAGATCATCCCGTCCAACCCCCCTCCCATTGCTATCAGTACCACAAGCACTAACCCACATCTCGTAGCTCCTCATCCAGGTGCCTCTTGAACGCTGCCAGGGACGGCGACTCCACCACCTCCCTGGGCAGCCATTGCAGTGCCTGACCACCCTCTGAGAGAAAAAGTTCATCCTCATGTCCAACCTAAACCTCCTCTGGTGCAACTTGTGGCCGTTTCCTCGGGTCCTACTATTTGCCTGGGAGAAGAGGCCAGACCCTTTTACACCACAGCTCCCTTCAGGAAGTTGTAGAGTGCAGTGAGGTCTCCCCTGAGCTCCTCTTCTCCGCACTGAACAATCCCAGCTCCCTCAGCTGCTCCTCATAAGGTTTGTGCTCCAGACCCCTCACCAGTTTCGTTGCCCTTCTCTGGGCAGGTACCAGAACTTGAGCATCAACAGTGAAACTGCAGTGCCCCGCATGATGTCGTGGTGTGGAACACCGAGAACCAAACACGGCAAAACCACGACACCACGAGCAGCACGAGCAACTCCTTGAGAGGAACAAGCGGGGTTTTCGGGCATTAGCAGAAGGCCGCTTCCTCCAGCGCTCCTCTGCCTGCTGGGCTCTTCCCCTCCCACGGCCAACTCACCCCACAAAGGGAGGGGGGCTGTCAGCTCCAAAAGGGACCCACATCGCCCCCATGGCGGCCCTCCCCCCCAGACTACAGCCCTCGCCCCCTGGGAAGAAGGCTCCACACGGCGTCCTCGCCCTGATGGCCCAGAGATGGCAGCAGCGCCCCGCTCCTGCCCCGCTGTCCCTGGAGATTCCCCCTGCAAGCAAAGGCGCCGAACAGGACAGGGGCCGAAGCAGAAGTGCCTGCTTGCTTTCTGTTTGCTTTCATTCTGCGCACTCTGGAGGTGCTGCGGTGAGGCCGCGGCCCTCTGCTCCCTTGCAGGAGCAAAGCCCCAGTGCGGGGCAATTCCTGCAGCCCGGGAGCTCCAGGGCCACCCGGCGGGAAGGGGCTGCAGGTTGGGCTTCTAAGAGCCCCGGTGCTCAGCATGGAGAGCTCTGCTAAATCCAAAGTTCCATGCGGTGCTGCAGGCCGGAGGGCGGGAATGGAACGCTGGGACTGTTGCATCACAATGAGAGGTCCTGCGTGTCACAGAGGGGGGCCTGCAGGAGGTCAGCTGGCATGCCATGAGCAGAGCCGGCCTCATTCCTCCTGCGCAAGCGACGGAGCATCACCGGAGCACGAGTGGAGGAGCATCGCTGTGATCATGGAGAGCCCCAGCTCTCCAGGACCGCTTGGGATGGCCATGCAGCTGAAGCTGATGCTGCAGTTCTGCCTGGCCTCAATCGTGCTGCTGCCCTTCCGGCAGCTGCAGGTAGGTGATGGGTGAGGAGCTGTGGGGCACAGGGGCCCAGGGGCAGCCCCTCAACCCACCTCTCACTGCTCCCGCAGAAGTTCTGTCGGAGGTTGGGGAAGAAGAGGACAGAGATGAGTACCCAGATGGAGGAGGGGAGAGGTGAGCAGCCCCGACTCCCCAGCTGAGCACCCTGCAAGGGGTCGGCAGCCCAGTGTGGGGCTGAGCGGGGGGTCCCGGCCGCTCACACGCTCTTGCTTTGGCAGATGCCTGGCGGAAGGACGGAGCAGCGGGGATGGCGTCGCCAACCTGGGAACAGCGGTGAGTGCTCTTGGCCAGACCTGCTCCTACTGCTGCAGGGCCTGGGGTCAGGACCATGGGAGGAGGCTGCACTGGGGTCATGGCCCAAACCCTGGGCGTGGGAGTAGCGGGTCCCCTCAATTCCTCCTTTTCCTCCTGCAGGACGAACCCAGACGAAAGGCGTACGAAGCTCCGCTGGGCCCCGCTGGCATCCATGGAGTCCCTGGGCTCCCTGGCTGCTTCTTCTTCTTCCTCCTTTTCCTCCCTCTACTCCTTACCAGAGCCCTGGCCTGGAGCTCTGTCAGAGTTGGCTGCTCTTATCCCTCGGACCGACCAAGAGCCACAACCAGAGTCAAAGGCAGAGCGAGAGGAAGAGCGAGAGCTGGAGTCAGAGGTGGAGACGCAGCCGGCCCTGAGCCCCAGCCCTGAGACCCCGGCTCTTCCGGCAGCAGCCCCCAGCCCCCTTCATTCCGTGGGTCCGAGCAAGCAGATCTCCCCCAGGGATGGAGTGCAGAGCCCCACGGAGCCCGAATACTCCCACACGGAGCTCATCCAGGAGCTGCTCCAAGTCATCCGGGAAAACCAGGCAGCCGTTGAGCGCCGCAGCCAACTGCTGCAGGCACTGCTGGAGCGGCAGGGAGTGGCTGGGACCCCCAGGGAGCCCTCAGCACAGGAGCCTCCAGCACAGAATCCTCCCACCCAGGAGCCCCCAGCCCAGGAGCTGTTAGAACAGGCGCCACCAGTCCAGGAGCCCCCCGGCATCCATCTGCATATACAGATGGATGTTGTTGGTACTGGGAGGTGGCAGTCGCTGGAGATGGACAGCATGGATATGGACACAGATACGGATACGGACGAGAACACATCGAGAGATCTGCTGATAGACACTGAAGGTCACGGGAGCGCCACAAAGGAGCTGGACCCGAGAGTCTCGACGGAGCCAAGCAGGAGCAGCCCTACAGGGTTCCGCTGGGGTCCCACGGGCTCAGCCCACCTGCAGGTGAACCCAGGGCTGTGCTGGGCCGGGCAATGCCTGCAGGCTTGCTGCTCCAGGCTGTGGCGGTGGCTGCAGGAGTGCTGGAGGCGCCGCCGTGCACAGCTCTGAGCGGGGAGGAAGAGCCTCCGAGGCCGAGTGCGAGGTCCAGCACCGCTACAGCCCCACCGCGCTCCCCCGGTTCAGAGCAGTGAAGGTTTCCCTTCCAATCCTGGGCTCAGGCAGCCCAGCAGTGCCCTGAGCAGCCGTGGGGCCGCATCCAGCCTGGGGCTGCATCGCAGAACTGCAGAACCACATCCCAGTCCGGGTGGGAAGGGCCCTCGAAGCCGACCCTGTGCCAACTCCATGGGCAGGGGCTGCTCTTGACAGCCAGATGGCAAAGTTCCCTCTGTGGGAATGCAGTCTTGCTTCTACAGAAGAACAAGGGAAGAATTTCATGTCACAGCCATCCAGCTTCACAGAGATTGGGTGCATGGAGTAATTTGTACAAAGAGAGAGAGACTGCAAGTCAATCAGCACTGCACACGTACAGCTAGCAACACTTCATGTTAGCCAGTGGGAATACATCTGTGTAATACTGCATCGTGTGCTCAGATGCACTGCACGAATATCCTGCCCAGGAGAAGGATGACAGCAGAGCACCAGGCATGGCGTGCCTGAGGAAGTGCTGGCAGCCCCCGGCGCTCTGTGTGACCAAGAACCGTCCTTTGGGCAGCAAGGAGCAGCCTGGGCCACAATCACCTCAGCAGGAGCATAAGAAGGGCGCTGAGACGTCCAGGAAACAACGGGATGGCGGCCGGTTGGCACCAGGCAGACTGAGAGTTACCAGAGTCAGAACAGAATTCAGAAATGGAAATGGAAATCTCCTGCTTGCAGGACGGCCGCCACTGCAACAGCCAATAAAATCTGATTCCATCACAGGCATCGTCCTGAGCAATTTCTGGACCCTTCTGTCACCTCTGCAGCATGGGGCTCTGCGGTGATGGGCACCTGTGCTTCTCGCTGCCAGGACCTCACCGCCCTCAGCTGAATGGCGCCTCATATCTCGCCTGAATCCCCTCTTTTAGCCTGAAGCCAATGCTGCTCTGCGGCAGCTGAGGCATGGAGTGAGATGGGAACGATCCGTATTCAAATCCATGCTCTTCTCTGCAGGCTCTGACAGGCCTTACGCTCATCTCCAAGCTCCCTCCTGCGGCCTCCGGCCCCCTGCGTGTCCACACAACACTCACCAAGTCTCCCTCAGCCCTGCACACCGGCTGCCCTCGCAGTGCCACCCCATCACAGCCACACGTGGCTTCTGCTCCCGTGCTGCTCCTCCATACAGGGTGGTCGCCAGACGGGGCTTTGCCCCACGTCTGCTCTGCTCCCCTGCACACATCCTGTCTTCTCTGTGTCCTCTTACATGCCTGTCAGTGTTGGTTCTCAGCCTGCATTCTGAGCGTTGTCTGCAACCCCAGCATCTCCCCCTGTGGTGTCTATTAACAGACTGTTGATACAGGACCAAAAACAATGGCACTGTGTGCCTTAACGAGGAACTAATGACACTGTAGAGTCATAGAATGGCCTGGGCTGCAAATGAGCACAGCGCTCATCCAGCTCCAAGCCCTGCTGTGTGCAGGTCGCCAAGCAGCAGCCCAGGCTGCCCAGAGCCACATCCAGCCTGGCCTTGAATGCCTGTAGGGATGGGGCATCCACAGCCTCCTTGGGCAACCTGTGCCAGTGCCTCACCACCCTCTGTCTCAAAAACATCCAGCCCAAACCTCCCCTGTCTCACTTTCAAGCCATTCCCCTTGTCCTGTCACCACCCACCCTCACACACAGCCGTTCCCCCTCCTGTTCATCCGCTCCCTTCAAGCACTGAAGGCCACCATCAGGTCTCCCTGCAGCCTTCTCTTCTCCAAGCCAAACAAGCCCAGTTCCCTCAGTCTTTCCTCACAGCAGAGCTGCTCCAGCCCTCTGCTCATCTCAGTGCCTCCTGTGGACCCGCTCCCAGAGCTCCCCGTCCTTCCTGTGCTTGGGGCCCCAGTAGGACGCAGCGCTGCAGATGGGGCCTCACAAGAGCCGATGGAGGGGACGATCACCTCCCTCTCCCTGCTGGCCGCCCCTTTGTCATGCAGCCCAGAACACATTGGCTGCATTCCGGGCTGCAGGCGCTCACTGCTGCCTCATGCCCAGCTCCTCGTCCACCAGGACCCCCAGTCCTTCTCCACAGGGCTGCTCTCCAGGACATCTTCCCCCAGTCTGTGTCAATACCTGGCTTTGCCCCGACCCGATGCAGCACCCTGCACTCGGCCCTATTGCACCTCATTGGGTTCTCATGTTGCCACTTCTCCAGCCTGTCCGGCTCCCTCTGGATGCTTCCCTTCCTCCAACCCATCGCCTGCACCGCTCAGCTTGTTGTCATCACAGACTCGCTGAGGCTGCACTCGATGCCATCGTCTGAGGGACACCGCTTGTGGCCGGCCTGCAGCCCAACACAGAGCCATGGATCACAGCCCTTGGCCGCGTCCAGCCAGCCAATTCCTCATCCAGCCGACGGTCCATCCTTCAGATGCACGCCTCTCCATTTCAGAGAGCAGGACGTGGTGAGGGACCGTGTCAGAGGCCTTGCAGAAGTCCAGGCAGATGGCATCCACCGCCATCCATACTCCATTTCAGGAGGACTCGGACCTGTTGCACTGTTACAGTGGGACAGAACCCACTCCCCACACGCTCACCTGGAGGCTCGTGGCCCTGGCAGACATGGGAAGCCTGACCACCCGTGAAGACTGAGGCAAAGCGCTCCCTGAGCACCTCAGCTTCTTCTATGAAGCCAGATCCCCTCATCAGTTACCTTTCATCACCTTGCCCTGTCTCCTGCCTATGTACCTGTAGAGCCCCTTCTTGTCACCTTTCACGTCCCTCTCCAGGGCTGAACTCAGAGCCCCGTCCCAGGTGCACAATGCGGCACGGCTCCTGCTGAGCTTCGTGCAGCTGGTGATTAAAGGAATTAATGACACTACGTGGCAATAACGGCGATACGCAGGGGAAAGAAATTCCTTTGCTCTCACAGATCTGCTGTTCTCTCAGCGCTCTGGAAGCCTCTGGAAGCAGAGCAGCAGAAGCACTGCTGTGCTTTAACCCTGCAGCAGCTCTGCAGCACTCGGCCGTTTGCTCATTGCCCCACCAGGAGATAGGGCAGAGCAGTGACACAGATAAAGCTGTAAGAGCTTGTCGGTTGAGAGCGGGACGGTTTGATGAGAGAGATAGAGAGGAAGAGAGGAAGAAAGCAAAGCAAAGGATGCCCAAGGCAATGGCTCGGTAGTTCCTGACTGATGCCGGTCCCGAGCAGCAGCAGCCCCAGGGCCAAGTGCCCAGCTCACAGCTCAGCACGGCGCCCTGTGCTCCAGGATCTCCCTTGGGCCTTTGGAGCAGCCGGCCCGGCTCTGTGCCCTGCAGCTCCTGGTGCAGCCCAGGAGGCAGAGCAGCCCTTACGTTGTCGGAAGCTGTGCTCGCCCCAAACACAACACGCGGCAGCCGACCAGCGTGGGGGGCAGAGCCCGGGGGCCCTGGATGGGACGCAGGCTGGGGTGGAGGAGCATCACTGCGATCATGGAGAGCCCCACTGGCATCCCTGAGATCCCAGTTGCTGCTTCTTCCTCCCCTTCCTCTTTGCTCCTTCTCCGATCCCTCTCCCGGCACACTTGCAGTGTCACCCGTGTCCCACTGAACACTCCAGATCCAGAGCCAGACCTGAGCCCCTGGCTCTCCTACCAGCAAGCCCCCAGCCCCCTTCACTCCCTGGGGCTGAGCAAGCAGAGCCCCACTCAGGCTTGGATCTCAGAGCCCCACACTCCTACACGGAGCTCATCCTGGAGCTGCTCCGAGTCATACGGGAAACCAGGCAGCCTTGGAGCACCGCTGCCAACTGCTACGGGCGCTGCTGGGGCGCTGGGGTCTGCTGGGACCTCCAGGGAGCCTCCAGCACAGGAGCCCCCCAGGATCCATCTGCGTGTATGGATGGATGTCCTTGGTGCTGGCACGTCGCAGCTCCCGGTTGGGAGCATCAGCATGGACATTGGCGAATGCTGCTCGGCCACAGCCGCTCCCCCACCTCTGCAGGTCTTGGCGTCAGGGCCGTGGGCCAGGGCTCCGCTGGGGTCGTGGGCGCAGCCCCGGACGCTCGGGTCCCCCCGCCGCCGCCCCTTCCCGCTCCGCGCCCCCTGCCCCCTTCCTCCCCCGCGGCCCAAAGCAAAAGGCACCGTGCGTGTGGAGGCAGCGCCGGGAGGGGACGAAGAACGGGAGGCGGGGAAGCGGCCGGCCGAGCGCGGAGCGCCGCCAGCCCGGGAGCGCAGCCCCTCCTCGGTGGCCCTCCGTCGGGACGGCGGCGAGCATCGGAACGGAGAAGGAAGAGAAGCGGAGCTGCTGGGAGGAGATGGAACCTCGGTGCCGGCGCGGAAGCGGAGGGAGAAACAGCGCTGCTCGTCGTCGCGGGGAGATTTGCTCGTGCTGCCGCGCGGGGACGGACAGCGCTGAGCTGCGAGCGGGGCCGCGACCGCCGCCCGATGGGGCGCAGCCTTTCCCCCAGCGCCACCCGGCCTGCCGTGGTGCAGCGCCGCGCCGCGTGGAGCTTCTGGGTGGCAGCGGAGAGCAGGGCTCAGAACTGCGGCTCGGGGCTGTGGGGCCGTGAGGGGCTGTAGGGCAGTGACAGGCTGTAGGGCCGTGAGGAGCTGTGGGGCCAGGAGGAGCCCTAAGAGGCTGTAGGGCCATGAGGAGCTGTGGGGCCCCGAGGAGCCATCAGAGGCTGTAGGGCCATGAACCTCCGCCCCACCTCTGCTGCTCTGGGTCGAACACCCCCATGGACCCCAGCTGCGCCTCCCCCATTTGGCCCTCCACACCCTTCCCCATCTCCACAGCTCTCCTCTGTCCTGTCCCACACTCTGTGCAGGTGCAGAACCCGGCGCTGCTCCTGCTGAGCTTCGTGCAGCTGGTGATTAAGCGACTTGATGTCATTACTTGATAATAATGATGACAGTGCAGTGCAAAGAAATGTCTTTGCTCTCACAGCCTCTGCTCAGATCTGCTGCTATCTCAGCCCTCTGGAGCCCGCACTGAGCAGCAGTAGCACTGCTGTGCTTTAAGCCTGCAGCAGCTCTGCAGCACTCGGCCGTTTGCTCCCTGCCCCACGGTTGTGGGGGTTGTGGAGAGCATTGGTGCAGACAGAAGCGTGAGAACTGGTCAGTTGAGAGAGATCCTGCTGGAGTGGGAGGGGGCGACCGGGACCCCAGGGAGCAGCCGAGGAACCCCCAGCCCAGGAGCCCCCTGGGATCCATGTGCACATACAGATGCATGTCCTTGGTACTGGGAGGTGGCAGCTGCTGGAGAGGGACACAGGCATGGATGTGGACATGGATAAGGATGTGGATGTGCCCCAGCCCTGAGCCCCTGCTCTGCCGGCAGCAGCCCCCAGCGCCCTTCATTCCCTGGGGCTGAGCAAGCAGAGCCCCACTCAGGCTTGGATCTCAGAGCCCCACGGAGCCTTCAGTGCCCCACTGCTCCCAAATGGAGCTCATCCTGGAGCTGCTCTGTGTCGTATGGGAAAACCAGGCAGCCTTGGAGCGCTGCTGCCAACTGCTGTGGGCACTGCTGGGGCGCTGGGGTCTGCTGGGACCCCCAGGGAGCTCCCAGCACAGGAGCCCCCCAGGATCCATTTGTGCATACGGATGGATGTCGTTTGTACTGGGAGGTGGCAGCTGCTGAATGGCGTCACAAAGAGAGAGATGGACAATAATAAGGACACAGATGCAGACAGGAATGGGGGAATGAGCAGGGACAGAAATGGGCGCATAGAAGAGGAAGCTGATGGGAGCGCCCGAAATGAGCCTGGCCAGAGCGTCCTGATGGAGCCAGGCAGGAGCAGCCACGGGGCAAAGGGCCCCTTCATCTCCTCTGTCTTCTGCTGGACGAGCCCAGTGCAAGCAGCACGAAGCCGCCCCAGGCCCCTCTGCTATCCATGCTGTCCCTGGGATCCCTGGTGTCACTCGATCAATCTGTGCCTGTGACAGGGGGGCTTTAGGGCCCTGGCCCCCCAGCCGGCCCCACAAAATGGGAAGGGAAAAGGAAAAGGGGCCGGGAGATGGATGTGGATGAAGATGGAACTGTGAGCAAGTCAGCAGAGTTTATCAGACTCCTTGATAGACCCTGTGAGTGTGAAACCTTGCGAGTCTGGAGTGTAAGAGAGAGAGCAAATGGGACCTAAGGGTAAACAGGAGGTTCTTTTTGTATGCAGTGTTAATCTTACCACACTTAGGAAACCTTTCATGCTTTATCACTGTGTTTTGGGAGAAGCTAGACCAATGCACTGATTAGAGGGACAGGAATTCCTGCCTTGTAAGGGAATGGTTCATAAGATGTATGTGGAACACAATAAAGGGAGCTATTCTGAGAGCTATACCGATGCTGCAAGAAGCTGTGAGCGCTCTCTAACCCGACTGAGCGACGACAAATGGCGCCCGAGCAGGGACACGAAGCTGGGACTGACTTGAAGGCTGAGCGGTGCGGAAGGCGCGCAGAAAAGCACGGAGCGCGGTTCTAAGCGCGTGGCAGGCGCTGAGAGAAGCGCCGCAAGCTGAGGATTCATTGTCGCCTACTAAGGGGGATCAGACAGCGTTCGGGTTGCTTCAGACTTGGACAAAGGGCTTTGAGGAGCTGAAGAGCCACTTCAGCTCGCAACCTGACGCCCGCAGTCTGCCTGAGGGCAAAGGAGCGGCTGGTCGCTCCGCAGATCGGCCCGCGATGCCATCGGCTCCCCGCCATTGCCGTCGGTTTTCGCTGCCTCAGCGCACGAGGAGCCCGGCGGCCATTTTGATCCAGGCGCAGAGCCTGTGGGAGAGACGGGTTTGTGCCGTCCTGATCCGCGCGCAGCTGTTGGGAGCGTGGGAACCGAATGCTGTTTCTGCAGGAGAATTGGATAATGTTATTTTTATTTCGTGGTCTCCGCCATCGTGGTTCTTTTTGGGAGTCCCTCTACTTAATTTGGGGAAGATCTCTGATAGTTCCCATCACCGATCCTCCAGACGAACCTTCCCAGGCACGCACGCTCTATAGAGGTGTACAGATGTCTGTTTTGTCACACTGCAGGACCATCCTGCACGAGAGCAAACCAGAGAACAGCCACGGCAGCCCGAGGAAGCGCCTGCAGAGACATCGGCAGGCCTGGCATCATCCCAGCGCTCTGTGTGTAAGGAAGACGTTAAAGAAAATCACCATATCAATACGAGGAGAGCACCGAGACAGCTTGGAAACAACAGGACGGCTGCTGACTGACGGCAGGTAACGAATAAGTTAACAAGTCAATGGCAAATGTCAACCTTCTGTACGATTGTGAACCTGGAGCACGCAGCCATGGGGAAACAGGGGAGGAGGGAGGCAAAGGGGAGCAAACAGGGTCTGAAGGCCGCCATGTTGTGTCCATAGGCGCTGCTGCTTGCGGGACGCCGCCATTGCAGCCGCGACTACGATCTGCTGTTAGCAGAGATGCCGTCCTGACAAACGTGACTTGGAGATTCCCAGCAATCTGGGGGCTCGCCCGGGATTATGATCGCCTCTGTGGGAGTTTCCCTACCGCCCTGCCCAGGATAGGGGCACCCCGCTGATGGCCGCGGTCCTGTCTGGGTGCTGAGGTGCCTCCTTGGGACGGCCGATAAAAAGCCGAGACTGTTCCATAAGGACGGGCTCTGTGAAAGCCAAGGGCAGGCAGGCACGGGTGTTGGCCATGGCGACCCGGTAACTTGGTGCACGGACCGAGGTAAGGGCGTTGAACTCTTTCCTTGGGGTCGGCTGAGACTCAGTGCGTGTGACTGAGACGCGCCGTCAGCGCGAAGCGAGCGCTGAGTGCCGAGTGCGGCTCCGCTGCGCCGCGAGGGGCGACGGCCGGGGACGGACGGAGCGGCTGCTGGTGGGAGGAAGAGTCTCGGGAGGCGCTGCTGTGTGCGGCACCCTGTGCGCTTGAAGTGGCAGCAGTGCGGCCCTATTAACCCGAGAGATGGGAGTGTAGTACTGCTGAGGGACTGGGCCAAAATCCGAGCGTCGGGGGGGGTAAGCTGTGAGCTGGGGAGTTCAGGGCTGCGTTCTGGAGGGATGGGGAATAGGAGTTGTGAGAGCAGGGGAAAAAGGTCCCCGGAATGGTGCCTAGAGATTGCGCCTTGGGAGAAGTGCTTCAGAACTGGGAAATCATCCCAAACCTGGGAAAAGAGCAGGGAAAAGGTGTTTAAATACTGTATTCAGTAGAGAGCACTGCAGGGAAAATCATTATTGTGAGCAAAATAGGAGTCTGACGGAGATTGGACTTGGCAGACTTTGTGTTTATATGTAAACAGTATGCCTCCTTTTTCTGAAACAGAGTTGGCTGAGGTCGCTTAATGGGTGCAAGAAGTACAGAAATGTCCCTGGCGAGGAGTCGAAGTTCAAAGGAAATAGGGAAGAGAAGCAGAAAGATCATAAATGGATCCCTTAGGTAACTTCCCCCCCTTCAATTTCTAAAGCAATGCAATTTCTAAGGCGGCAGTGACCTCTCCAGAGGAGGAGAGTGGGTGCTGCTGGTCTGTGCAGGTCCTGAGAGAGGCTGTGCTCTGGATTGCTGAGGGAGTCGGAGTAATGCGAACGGGACCTGAAGAGTTTTCCTTTCTCTAACACTAACCTTACTAACGCTTCACTTTGTCCTCTTAGGGCAGCCTTAGGTCAAAGGGAAATAGGGTATGGTAATGCCTGCTGTTTGTACTGGGAGAGAAGTGAGGAGTTTCAGGAAGAATTCCTTAAGTGAGGATCATATAAGTGTAGCAGAACAATGAGATCAGTTTCTAGGGCCTAATTTCTGCTCATGGATGGAAATGATGTTTATCATTGATATGTTGTGTGTTGGAGAGGAGGTGGGCAGCTACGCAAGAGTGGGAAGTGAATACAGAGGGAAGGTTGGGCTCTGGAGGGAGGCAGAGAGAGGAAGGATCCTGAGGATGAATTGCACTGATTATTTTTATTGATTAAGATTTTATATTACTGTCTTTGTGATTGTTAGATGTTTGTGTCGTGACAGTGTTCTGTGATGTTGAATATATACAACCCATGGTGTATATCTTTATTGACCAAGTTAAGGAATAAGCAGGTGGGGTTTACCGTTCTGGATTTGAAGGACACCTTTTTCTGCCTGGTTTTGCCAGAGAAAGTCTGCAATTATTTGCCTTTGAGTAGGAAAACTCAAATATGGAAAGAAAAATTAAAAAAAATAATAATAATTCAGTTAACCTGCACAGTGTTACCCAGGGTTGTGAGAACAGCCCCATGATTTTTGAGAACTGGTCAACTTGTGAGCCTGAGATTTGGGTTCACCATCTCACAGTGGAACTTTACTGCAGTACGTGGATGCTGCAGTAACAAAGGACTGTGTGCAGTGGATGTGAGCTTGCTGAATTTCTTGATTTAAGGGTGTCACGGAGTTGACCAGATCAATGTGTGTCCGTGACAGGGGTGACAGGCCTCCACCCGCCCCCCCCACCCCAGTCCCACAAAAAATGGGAAGGAAGGAAGGGAGGAAAAGGACAGCGGCAACAATCTGTGGAGGAAAACTTATTTTACTATAATATTGGAATACAAGATAACACAATATATATAATTTAATTGAAATTGAGATTAATAAATCAGACAAGATGAGAGAGAGAGAGTTCCCAGGACCGACTCAAACCTGAAAAGCTTGGAACAGCCAGGAAAGCACCTCCAGCACCCACTGCCAGGCAGCAAGAGAGCGCCCCCCCACCCGGAAGGGCCAGATCCCATGACTGCTGTAATGTACAGGGATAGGAACTGGGATTGGGGCAGTGACACTTTAATGCCCCGTACACTACATGATGTTTGGATGTGGAATACTGAAACCCAGAAACAAAAAACAAAACCAAAAAAACCCATAGAACCATGACAAAGGGCTATCAAGTTTCTCACCAGAAAGCACAACTGATCAAACAGAAGGAAGCAATTTGCTGAACACCCAGAGCACCAAGGCAGAGCTGCCTCCAAGCCAGCAGTGTGCGACTGCATGGAGGCTGTCTGTGCCAGCTGTCAGAGCTGCAGGAGGAGCCGTTGGACGACGCTGAGGAGTCCTGGGTTCATCGACGGAAGCAGTTTTGTGAGACAAGGAATCTGTAAGGCAGGACATGCAGTAACTGCTACTGACAGGGTAACTGAAGCACAGCCATTACCTGGGGACTTCCACTTAGAAGACTGAAGTCGTTGCCTTGACAAGAACCTTAACGATACGGACAGGTGCTCAATGTGCTTTTGGGGTGGTACCCACTCATGGTGCCATGTGGAAGGAGCGAGGATTGCTTACACACAAGGAAAACAAATTCAGCATGGTGTAAATCTACCAAAGAACATCATGGCTGTTAGACATTGTAAAGGACATCAGAAGAGTGACACTGTGCAGGAAACTGGGAATATGATGATGGATCAGGTGGCAAAACAGGCAGCTGAAGGAAAAGAAATTGGAGAACGGCTTTAATTCCAGATGGTAAACTTGAAATATCTGAACCTTAGTCAGAACCTACAAGGTACTCTAAAAAGGATAGGAATCGAATGAATGAAGGGAAGAGAGCAAGCTGACAGATGGGTGCATACCCAGATGGACACACTGTTGTGCCCCTTAGTATTTTAGAATCATAGAATCATAGAATCACCAAGGTTGGAAAAGACCTAAAAGCTCATCCAGTCCAACCATTCACCTATTCCCAACAGCTCCCACTAAACCACGTCCCTCAACACAACATCCAGCCTTTCCTTGAACACCCCCAGGCTCGGTGACTCCACCACCTCCCTGGGCATCCATTGCAGTGCCTGACCACCCTTTCTGAACAGTAACACTTCCTCATGTCCAGCCTGAATCTCCCCTGCCGTAGCTTGAAGCCATTCCCTCTGTTCCTATCACTGATGACACGAGAGCAGAGGCCGACCCCCAGCTCACTGCAGCCTCCCTTCAGGAAGTTACAGAGAGCAGTGAGGTCTCCCCTGAGCTCCTCTTCTCCAGGCTGAACATTCCCAGCTCCTTCAGCCTCTCCTCATCAGCCCTGTGTTCCAGACCCCTCACCAGCTTTGTTGCCCTCCTTTGAACACGTTCCAGGGCCTCAATATCTTTCTTGCAGTTATAGGATTTGGTTCTAAGGGAACATAATAAAACAAGGGGGTACAGACACCAGAAAGTAACTGCACAATCCTAGTGCCAGGAACAGGGTACGAGTGGGGCTTGTTGGAAAGGGAACCTTCCAGGGCAACAATGGCAAATTGATTTTTTTTGAACTGCCAGGAAAGAGGAGGGTTTTGATCTATGCTGGTTCTAACCAATACCCTCTCAGGGTGACCAGAAGCATTCCCTTGCAGGACCAGTAGAGCCAAGGAAGTAAGCAAGGTGCTTTTGCAGGAGATTATTCCAAGGTTTGGGTGTCCTGCAGCAATACCCTTCAACCAGGGAACTCATTTTATTGCAGAGATTGTCCAACAGCTCAGCAAGCATTGGGAATAAACTGGCAATTGCACACAGCACACAGACCACAGGCGAGTGGTCAGGGGGAAAAGATGAACTTGCTAATTAAATCACAGGGTGTAAAACTGGGCCAGGAAACTGGACTATCCTGATCACAGTTGTTGCCTTTGGCTCTCCTTAGTACCAGAACAAAATCTAGAGCCAAACAGGGGTTAAGTCCTTTCACAATACCGTACAAAAGGCCTTATGTTGTACAAATGAGGATCTGTACCCACGTAGGGAGCGAAATACTAACTGAGCATGGGATAAGTCTACAGGAATGGCTCTGAGAAAAAGAGAAACTGGTTCTAGGAGCTAGAGCCCAAGGCCTTGATACGGCTCGATAAGATGTATATAACAAATGTCTTTAAGGTTCGCCCCTGGAACCAAGCTGGGTAGGTCTGTTCCAGGTGCTGCTAACATCCCACACAACAGTAAAAGCATTGTGGATGCACCATACTAGAGTTAAGAAGGTCCCTGGAACACAATGAGAACTGAAATCAGCTGGACCCTGTGAGGGCTGCAGGGACACGAGCGGCTGCAGGGCCTTGAGAGGCTTTAGGGCCTCGAAGGGCTGTCGGACAACAGGGGCTACTGGGCTCCTCACTGCCAATGGTTTCCAGGCTGGTTCGGCCCAGTTCCGTGACTGGCGGGGCTGAGGGATTTCACAAAATCTGTGCTTCCGGAAATAGGGAACAGGGGACCCCAAAACAATTAAAAACAGCGGCAACGATCAGAGGAGAAACAAGCTAATTTACTAAATATGGTATTGGAATGCCAGATAACACAGTAATACAGTACAATCAGAACTGGAGCTAAAAAATCACATACAGGGAGAGAGAGAATGTCCGAAAGGTGGAATGGCCTCAGCACAAGGCTGAGGTGAGATGCCTGGTCCAGCTGAGCAGCAGGGAGATGGGAGGAGAGCCGGCAAAGACGAGCAGGCGAAGAAGAGCATCGGGTGCCCTTGCAGGAGCTCTGTCTGCTCTTGTGACCGCAGAGTCCAATGGGGAATGCAGTTCTTCTTCTCAGAAGCACAGAATCGCAAGGTTGGAAACGACCTGCAAGATCATCCCGTCCAACCCCCCTCCCATTGCTATCAGTACCACCAGCACTAACCCACATCTCGTAGCTCCTCATCCAGGTGCCTCTTGAACACTGCCAGGGACGGCGACTCCACCACCTCCCTGGGCAGCCATTGCAGTGCCTGACCACCCTCTGAGAGAAAAAGTTTCTCCTCATGTTCAACCTAAACCTCCTCTGGTGCAACTTGTGGCCGTTTCCTCGGGTCCTACTGTTTGCCTGGGAGAAGAGGCCAGACCCTTTTACACCACAGCCTCCCTTAAGGAAGTTGTAGAGTGCAGTGAGGTCTCCCCTGAGCTCCTGTTCTCCGCACTGAACAATCCCAGCTCACTCAGCCGCTCCTCATAAGGTTTGTGCTCCAGACCCCTCACCAGTTTCGTTGCCCTTTTCTGGGCAGGTACCAGAACTTGAGCATCAACAGGGAAACTGCAGTGCCCCGCATGATGTTGTGGTGTGGAACACCGAGAACCAAACACGGCAAAACCACGACACCACGAGCAGCACGAGCAACTCCTTGAGAGGAACAAGCGGGGTTTTCGGGCATTAGCAGAAGGCCGCTTCCTCCAGCGCTCCTCTGCCTGCTGGGCTCTTCCCCTCCCACGGCCAACTCACCCCACGAAGGGAGGGGGGCTGTCAGCTCCAAAAGGGACCCACATCGCCCCCATGGCGGCCCTCCCCCCCAGACTACAGCCCTCATCCCCTGGGAAGAAGGCTCCACACGGCGTCCTCGCCCTGATGGCCCAGGGATGGCAGCAGCGCCCCGCTCCTGCCCCGCTGTCCCTGGAGATTCCCCCTGCAGCGCCCCCACAGCTCTGCTCTCCCTGTCCCGCTGCTGTTCCCGCTGTCCCCACTGCTGCGTGTTGCTGCCCAGCAGGCGCCGGGGGCCCTGCAAGCGGAGCTGCCGAACTGCTCATCTCAGTGCCTCCTGTGGACCCGCTCCCAGAGCTCCCCGTCCTTCCTGTGCTGGGGGCCCCAGCAGGACGCAGCGCTGCAGATGGGGCCTCACAGGAGCCGATGGAGGGGACGATCACCTCCCTCTCCCTGCTGGCCGCCCCTTTTTCAGGCAGCCCAGAACACATTGGCTGCATTCCGGGCTGCAGGCGCTCACTGCTGCCTCATGCCCAGCTCCTCGTCCACCAGGACCCCCAGTCCTTCTCCACAGGGCTGCTCTCCAGGACATCTTCCCCCAGTCTGTGTCAATACCTGGCTTTGCCCCGACCCGATGCAGCACCCTGCATTCGGCCCTATTGCACCTGATTGGGTCCTCATGTTGCCACTTCTCCAGCCTGTCCGGCTCCCTCTGGATGCTTCCCTTCCTCCAACCCATCGCCTGCACCGCTCAGCTTGTTGTCATCACAGACTTGCTGAGGCTGCACTCGATGCCATCGTCTGAGGGACACCGCTTGTGGCCGGCCTGCAGCCCAACACAGAGCCATGGATCACAGCCCTTGGCCGCGTCCAGCCAGCCAATTCCTCATCCAGCCGACGGTCCATCCTTCAGATGCACGCCTCTCCAAATCAGAGAGCAGGACGTGATGAGGGACCGTGTCAGAGGCCTTGCAGAAGTCCAGGCAGATGGCATCCACCGCCATCCACACTCCGTTTCGGGAGGACTCGGACCTGTTGCACTGTTACAGTGGGACAGAACCCACTCCCCACACGCTCACCTGGAGGCTCGTGGCCCTGGCAGACATGGGAAGCCTGACCACCCGTGAAGACTGAGGCAAAGCGCTCCCTGAGCACCTCAGCTTCTTCTATGAAGCCAGATCCCCTCATCAGTTACCTTTCATCACCTTGCCCTGTCTCCTGCCTATGTACCTGTAGAGCCCCTTCTTGTCACCTTTCACGTCCCTCTCCAGGGCTGAACTCAGAGCCCCGTCCCAGGTGCACAATGCGGCACGGCTCCTGCTGAGCTTCGTGCAGCTGGTGATTAAAGGAATTAATGACACTACGTGGCAATAACGGTGATACGCAGGGGAAAGAAATTCCTTTGCTCTCACAGATCTGCTGTTCTCTCAGCCCTCTGGAAGCCTCTGGAAGCAGAGCAGCAGAAGCACTGCTGTGCTTTAACCCTGCAGCAGCTCTGCAGCACTCGGCCGTTTGCTCATTGCCCCACCAGGAGATAGGGCAGAGCAGTGGCACAGCTAAAGCTGTAAGAGCTTGTCGGTTGAGAGCGGGACGGTTTGATGAGAGAGATAGAGAGGAAGAGAGGAAGAAAGCAAAGCAAAGGATGCCCAAGGCAATGGCTCGGTAGTTCCTGACTGATGCCGGTCCCGAGCAGCAGCAGCCCCAGGGCCAAGTGCCCAGCTCACAGCTCAGCACGGCGCCCTGTGCTCCAGGATCTCCCTTGGGCCTTTGGAGCAGCCGGCCCGGCTCTGTGCCCTGCAGCTCCTGGTGCAGCCCAGACTCCCCGCAGGCAGAGCAGCCCTTACAGAAGCCCCGCTCGCCCCAAACACAACACGCGGCACCCGACCGGCTCCTAGCATCCATCAGCTCCATCCCACCCAGCCCAGCTCAGCGGGTCCAGCGCCAGCTGCTGGGAGCCCCTCTGCACCGAGGGCTGCGGAGCCAGAGCCGCTCATCTCAGCGCCCGTGGGACCGCGAACCACACGTGCACCAAGGCCAGGGGGATGGCTCAACATGGACATTTCCTGGGGGAAGCCGTTGAACCACTTGGCCACAGCGGGCAGTTTGGGGTGTTTGCGGGTGAGTTACGCAGGGCACGCGGGCTGGGGCTGCTCTACAAAGTGGGAGCTCAGCTCCGGGTGTCCTGCAGCTGCATCACGCCGTGGGTCCTGCCTGAAGCAGAGCAAAGGTAACAGCGTGCTGCAGCTCCAGGGCTGCTCCCAGCACTGCGGCTGCTGGGGCTGCGCTGGGGAACCTTCTTGTCTGCAGCAGGGAACGGCAGCCGTGGGCCGGAGGCCGGGGGCAGCCGGGGGGGGCAGAGCCCGGGGGCCCTGGATGGGACGCAGGCTGGGGTGCTTCCCTGTGCTGTCGGGGGGGATCTGGAGGGTCCTGAGGTCACCGCGATGCATCTGCTCAGCTTCTCCCTGCAGCCCCCGCCGCCGCTCCCCCAGCCAGCTCCCACTCATGGAGCTCCTCGCCCTGTGCTGGGTGCTGCTGGCCGGCACCTTGCTCAGCACGTCGGCCGCCAGCAGCGCCCTGCATGACGGAGACCTCGGCCCCACCATGGTGCCGATGGACATGGCCCCCAACTCCTTCGATGACCAATACGAAGGCTGCGGGCAAATGATGTGGGATAAGATACAGAAGGTGAACTATACTGAGTTCACCAAGAACTATGTCTACGCTGACGGCTGGAGGAAGGCAGCTGCGGAATGGCAGAAGCGCTGGGGCCACCTCTCTCACCCCCCACAGCTAAGACGGGAGCAGGCCATCGCCGTGCTGGCATACACTGCTGCAAGCAAGCTATACCAGCAGCTGAATGCAGCCACACGTCAGGGCGGACGTTCCCATCAGTACTACTGCCTTTACTTCCACTTCAAGACGCTGCACTTCCTCCTGACGCAGGCGCTGCGTGCCCTGCAGGCATCCCAGCCCTTCTGCTACAAAGTCTATCGTGGTGTTGGGGGTGTCCGCTTCACAGCCCAAAGAGGGACGGCTGTGCGCTTCAGCCAGTTCACCTCCACCTCCCTAAGGAAGGAGGTCGCAGTGAAGTTTGGCCGGGACACCTTGTTCGTGATTAAGACCTGCTATGGTGCCCCAATCAAGCAGTTCTCCTTCTACCCCTTGGAGGATGAAGTCCTCATCCCACCCTTTGAAGTCTTTGAGGTCACCAGCTTCTCCGTCGTCAATGGCAGAAACCAAATCCATCTCCACTCTAAGGGGAAGAAGAGTAAACACAACTGTGAGCTTCTAAAGAGTCCATGTGGGCAGTGGGGTTGGGGCCACCAGGACGTGGGGTTGGGGTTCAGCCCTGGGCCAGCTCTGCACTCCCTGGGCTGCTCCAACTGCAGCTGGTGTGGATCCGGGCACAGAGAGGGTGACCCCATCCCAGCAGCTCTGTAAGGGGACGGGGAGTGTGGAGGTGAAGGGAGCATCTCTGTGGGAAGGTGGGGACATGGGGAAATGAGAAGGTGAGGATATGGGGAGGTGGGGAAATGGGGGGATGGGGAGGTGGGGACATGGGGAGATGAGGAGGCGTGAGAGCTTGAGCTTGAGCAGCTTAGAGCTCTGCGAAGCTGCAGGACTGTGCAGGGACAGGGCAGCAGCAGAACCCAAGGGTGGGGATGGGTAGAGACGTGCGCCCAAGGGCCGGCGGCGTGCAGAACTGTGCTGCTCCGTGTGTGTGCTGGAGCCAGGCTGTGCCTCATCCCACAGCTGGTGCCCTCTTCTTTCTCTCATTAAACCTCGAGCATCAGCACGTCGGTGCCGTGTGTGTGGCAGTGTTTCATACAGTGCAGTGGGACCTGGGAGCGTGTGAGGACCCGGGTCTGCCCAGGATTGAGGCGGCCATGTGGGCCCCGGGTTGTGGGGCAGCTCAACCCGCAGTGCTGCCCCGATCCTGCTGCGCGGTGCTGAGCTGGGGATTGGCAGGAGCAGCTCTGAGCCAGAAGGTGACTGGAGAACATCCCCACCATTTCTTCTGCAGCATCAGCACAAAGGCAGCACCAGAGCTGGGGCAGTTTAGTTCTGGGGTGCTGCTCTGCTATCCGGGTCCCACAGGCTCTGTACAGAACTCCCAGTGGAGACCATCCAGGCTGGGGTTGAGGGGAGCCTGGCCGGGCCCCTGCAGCTCTGTGCCTGGGCTGCTGCCCCTGCATACCTGCAGGAGTGGCACTGTGGAGCTGAGCGCAGCAGGACCCCCAAGCGAAGATGCTCTCAGCCTTTAGGATCGCGGCGTTCAGCAGAGCAAGCGGTGCTGAAAAGCTCGAGCATCTCAGCTCTATTTCATCATGCTCGGGTCTGGTGCACACGATGGAACCTCACGGGGAGGTGCCCAGCACTCAGGGGATCTTCAAGGCCAGATGGATCCCAGCGCACAGCGCAGCACCAGCATGGCTCTCCTGGCATTCCATGGCACTTGTAAATTCCTCCACCTTTTCCCCATGAAGGGAGTATGGTGTTGGGCTCAGGGCCCTTTTACAGCTACCAGGACAAGGCCCCCTCAAGTTCCCCATTCCCCAGTGATCCCAGTCTCCCTGTGCTCCCCTGCTTTCAACTCTCCCTATGCTCTCCAGTCTCCCCAAGCTTGGAGCCCAACTCCTATGGAGAAAAGCTGGGGGAGCCATGGGTGTTCAGCCTGGAGAAGGGAAGGCTGGGAGGACCACACTGCCATGCACTCCTGGGGCCTCTCCTCGAGCACTGGGTACGGGTTTGGACACCACAGGATGCAAAGGACATCAAAGCATTAGGGAGTATCTAGAGGAAGTCTGTAAAGATGATAAAGAGTCAAGAGGGGAAGATTTATGAGGAGCAGCTGAGGTCCCTTAGGTTGTTTGGCCCAGAGCAGAGGAGACTGAGGGGGGACCTTGCAGCCCTGCAGCCCTTCATGGCCCTACAGCTCTCAAAGAGGGCAGAGGTGCAGCACCGAGCTCTGCTTCTGTGTGACCAGGACAGGCCTCGAGGGAATGGCATGGAGCTGTGAGGGAGGATGTGGGGTGAGGGAAAGGCTGTGCCCCGTTGGGCAGTGGGCATGGCTCAGCTCCCAGGGTGGTGGGCACAGAGCTCAGGGAGCACCAGGACACTGCTCTGACATCGTGTGCTGTGGCAACCAGGCACAGACTTGGATGTGAACGGTCCAAATCCTTTATTACAGGTTCTCACATCACTTACAGACATTCACAAGTTTCCTTTTTTAGCTTTCCCATCGAGCTTCACAGCTTTCCCCTCTGCCTTTACGTGTCAGCAAAGCGTTCCACAAACACTCCATAACCGTGCATGCAGGCACTCATCCAGTCAGGGATAGCAGGAGCCATTCCTTTTGCTTTTCTCTTCTGGAAATGTCCTTGGTTTCTCAGTCTTGATTTCTTATCTTGCTCTGCAGCATCTGCTCTGAACAGACTTTCTTGTATTCCCATAGGGTTGGGTTTGGGGTGCTGTGTGGGGCCAGGGATTGGGCCTGGTGATCCCTGTGATTCTGAACTCAGAATGTTCTCTATGATCCTCTGAAAGCAGCTGTGTGACTGTTCTGCACGTGGCTACATCAACCCCAGCCATGCTGATAGCTTGGAGAAGAGAAGGCTGCAGGGAGACCTGATGGTGGCCTTCAGTGCTTGAAGGGAGCGGATGAACAGGAGGGGGAACGGCTGTGTGTGAGGGTGGGTGGTGACAGGACAAGGGGAATGGCTTGAAAGTGAGACAGGGGAGGTTTGGGTTGGATGTGAGGAGGAAGTTTTGGAGGCAGAGGGTGGTGAGGCACTGGCACAGGTTGCCCAAGGAGGCTGTGGATGCCCCATCCATCCCTGCAGGCATTCAAGGCCAGGCTGGATGTGGCTCTGGGCAGCCTGGGCTGCTGCTTGGCGACCTGCACACAGCAGGGCTTGGAGCTGGATGAGCGCTGTGCTCCTGTGCAGCCCAGGCCATTCTATGGTTCTTTCATTCACTGACCATTTTACAGCTTCAAAGGATTTGCACTGCACAGAATCGTGTTATTCCAGAGGCAGTGCTGCTATGGCAAAACGACAGCATCCGGAGGTGATGCTCTGCTGCGTGCCTGGAGCTGCTCCGCATTACCACGCCGCACTTCTCCAGACAAACATCCATACCTCAGCGTTCCCAACAGACGCCTGGTGAGGGCAGCAAAACCTCTATTGCTTTGCTCTGCTTTCAGACATAAGGAAAAGAGGATTAAATCCAAACGGCTGCGCACTTCCAATGCCCTGTGCTCAGCCAGGTGTTACTACCGGGAGTTTCAAAGCAGGCTGGGGGAACCTGATGTTTCTCCTCTTCATATGCTGGTGCTGGAAGAAATGGCAGTATCCTGCTTTGCAGCCAAGGAGAAATCTGCAGAAAGTAAAGCCAGGTCATGTGGGGCAATGCAGGAAGTGCAGCAGGCGGCCACATCCTCTTCTCATGCTTTTTCCATAATGTCCATCCACCCTTTTGCTCCAGCTGTGTTCGTTAGAGGGAAAGCTCTGATTTGAGATGGAGGGGATGAAATAGGGCACAAGCTATTTAAATGCCAAGGAAGAAGAGGTGAGAGGGAAAATCCTCCTCTTTGATCCTGTAAGGATCAAAGGATGAGAGGTGATGGCCTCACATCGTACCAGGGGAGGGTCAGGTGGGGTGTTAGGGAACATTCTTTCTCCAAAGAGTGGGGATGCTCTGGCACAGCTGCCAAGGGAGGGGGGGTCACCATCCCTCGGAGTATCCCAGAGCCGTGGGGATGTGGCACTGAGGAACGTGGGCAGTGGGCTGGGGGTGGGGATCCTGGAGGGCTTTTCCAGCCTTCACGCTTCTAAACAACAGCAGAAGGAAGGAAGGATGCTCAGCTGAAGTCCCTGTTTCTCAAGGATTGTAAGAACAACTTTATCTGGGCCAGCAGGAACCCAGCCCACTTATGTTACAAGAGATGCCTGGACAACAGGAGGGATAGAGCCCAGCAGCGCCACCTCACACTGTCCCCATCCTCCCCCTGACCCACAGCGCTTCCCCACTGAGACAGGAACAATTACACCACGTTCATTAGCACAGCCCTGTGCAGCAGCAGCTGCTCGTTTGGAACGATTCACTCCCTCCTCCGCTGGAGGGAATCGGTGCACAGCAGCTGTGCTTTGATATCAAACTTGATAAGCGAGCAGACAGCTGTGGGAAGGCCTTGAGAGCCGACCTCCCTTGGGTCACTGCTCCCAGAGCTTTCCTTCCCATCCCACGCAGCCCTGGGTATCTGACCTCACCAAATGGATTTTAATAGGGGTGAGGAAAAGGGCTGCTGAGCAGCAGGGCTTATCTCGCCAACCAGAGTGCTTGCAAAGCCCACAGGCTGAGAAGGGCGATGCGTATGTCTGGCTGTCCGCATTGTGAGCTGTGACGGTCGGCCAGCAGTGGCAGAGCACTTCTACAGCTCAGGGTCAGCCCCAGCCCACAGACAGCGGGTTCAGCCCTCGCCTGAGACTAAAATAGCACATGAACTTTACAGCCATGCGTGCTGTCTGGATTGCTTTGCACCTCCCGGGGAGGACGGCTGGGGGTTGGGGGGATCTCAGCTCTGGATCTGGGATCTCAGGATCAAAGCTGCAGGGATGCAGCACCGGAGCCATTGGCTGCAATGACATCAGCAATGGCTGTAACACCAAGTTACCCACGCGCCGCCACGACACCGAAGCAGCCCACTGGTTTTGCCCAAGTTTATTTCTAGAAATCTGTACAAAAAAAACCCACGGGTCCTCTGTCAGATAACAGTCTATGAGATGTGACAGATTCCAGGAATGTGAAGTACCGTCCGCTCGCGTGGAAGAAAGGCACATTTCAGAGCTTGCAACACAGCCGCAGCGCGGAGAAGGCAGACATGCAAGTAGTGCAACGTTTCAGCTTTACACATAAACATGCTGTACTCCGAAGGAATCTCACTACAAGCAGCGTTAGCATCCATGTAAACATCAGAGAAACACTTTAAAATCCACTCACTGCAGATCCTATGCGTGAGAAGGCTACTCCTTTACATTCACTGGACAGAAGAGTTAAAAGCCATCTTTGGGCAGAAGTTACTCCTAGCTTTCCCCAAATGCTTTCAGGCTCCAAACCACCAGCAGCCCCACGGCATTTACCCCGACTGGCTTCCCACGGGTCTGCAGCACTGGGCCACACCATTGCACCACCCCACTGCCCCCGGAGCTCCGTGGCTATGGAGGAGTCCCATTCCTCCTGCAGCACAGCGCTGTGCAAGCAGCACTCGGGACAGACCAGCTCCTAAAGTGACATTCTGAACACAAGTGGTGAAATGCCAGCCACCACAGCATCCCACACAGTGCGGACCGAGGCCCACTGGGCTCGGCGTTCCTTGGCGTTCCTGCACCTCTCCCCTGGGGTTCTGGCTTTGGTGCTTTCAGAGGAGCTTTTCCGAAGCAGAAAAACTCCTGTGCTGGGTGAGCACATCTCAGCACAGCTGTTGTGCAACACACCGATAACACTGCTCACAATCCAAGCACTGCTCTGCTCGTTGGTTGGAAACCAGATGGACGCTGCTCTCCCCCCAGAGCAGCTCGCGCAGCAGATGCAGGAACGCTTCTAATCCACCTCTGGCAATCCAACAGCCTTACACAGCAGGTGACAAAGGCAATCATTTCCCCCATCCAAATCCTCACAGCAGCGGGGAGTTGTGCTCTTTTGGATAGAAAGAGGTTTGTCATGGGATTGATCCAAAGGAAAGCTTTTCTTTTTTAGATCAGTTTTAACACGTGGTCTAGCAATACGTTAAACATTTCCTTTAGAAGGACACGGACACCCACACACGCTTCCAAAAACGCGATGACGGTTTGGGCTCCCGGAGAAGATGCTTCTGAGGGAAGGAGGTGCTGCTGAGCCGGACCCTTCAGTTGACTTCCAGGACCTCAGTCTCTGGCAATCCAAACCTGCCTTTGTACTTGTCAAAGAGCTTGATGAGGGAGTCCACGTACACGCCGTGGTAGAAGTCCACTTCCTTCTGAGATGGGTTGTCGATCTTTGGAATGGTGATGGGCTCACCCACTGATGGAAAAAGGAAAAAGGAGAGATCCGCGTGTTAGGATGAGTGCTTTCGTAGAGATCTGTCCTCTTGCACTACCAACATCAGCTCAGCACAGCCACGCTGCCATAGCACAGCTTGCTATGCTGGGCCCAGCAGTGCAGCCCTCCACAATTCTTAGGACCAAGACCTTGGATGCACTCAAGGCCAGGCTGGATGTGGCTCTGGGCAGCCTGGGCTGCTGGTTGGCAAGCCTGCATATAGCAGGGAATTGGAAGTAGATGATCATTGTGGTGCTTTTCAACCCAGGCCATTCTGTGATTCTGTGATTCTATGATTCTAAGACCCAAAGCTGCAGTCCTCATACACTCCCCTGCAGACAGAAGGGAAGAAACAACTTTTTACCCCCACAGGCGTCATGGCTTTGGCCTGGAAGACTCAAAGGCAAATTCTAGGGTCGGCTTTAAGACTTAATCACACTGCTGGTCCCAGGAGTACAATGGGGCAGGCTGCTTCCGATAGGGGCTGTCCAAAACCAGGGGAGGGAACAGCCACAGTTTCATCCAAAATGAGCCCATTTGGTAAAGCTGCTGGGAGCAGAATGTGACAGAGGTCTTGCAGACTCTGGAAGCTATAGTAGCTCACTCTTGGCTTCGTATAGCAGGAAAATGGACTTGTATCATCAAGACCCCAAGACCAAGCCAGAGCAAGGATATGGCACAGATTCACTTACGTGGTACCGAGAGAAGCACACAGTATATTTATCCAAAGACCTTACCAACAGTGGTGATGGGCTTGGAGTATGGCAGCAAGCCCCACGTGTTCGAGGAGAAGAGCCCGCGGCCGTGGAAGATGCATGGAGCAAAGCCAATGTGCTTCTGAAACTTCTTCTGAACCCATCTTCCCCAGGAGCCCTCCTCAAAGATCACCTGCTTGTACACTTCGTTCTCCCCAAAAGAGTAGACGGGAACCAAGTCGGCACTAGAAGGATGAAGAGGTGCTATACCCCACGTGCCCTGGGCTGCAGCCCATACTACAGCCCCACAACCACCGTGCACTTTCCAGGCTGCACCTTGCAGACGTTACTGGATGTTATATGGCTTTAAAGTGAGACAGGGGAGGTTTAGGTTGGATATGAGGAGGAAGTTTTGGAGGCAGAGGGTGGTGAGGCACTGGCACAGGTTGCCCAAGGAGGCTGTGGATGCCCCATCCCTGCAGGCATTCAAGGCCAGGCTGGATGTGGCTCTGGGCAGCCTGGGCTGCTGCTTGGCGACCTGCACACGGCAGGGCTTGGAGCTGGATGAGCGCTGTGCTCCTCTGCAACCCAGGCCATTCTGTCATTCCACGATTCTATCCCAGGCAGCTTCCTATCCCTGCCCGTGCTCAGAGCAGGCAGACAAGACAGGGCGATGTGTCTGAGTCTTTGGGCACACAGTCATGCAGCACAGCAGGGGATGGCAGCCCCTTCCATGCACTGGCAGTGCTGCTCTATCCTCCATGCCATCTCTTACCCGTGCCGCAGTGCCAGTTTCACAAATCCCTTCCTGTTCCTCAGTGTCACTGAGTTCTTCCCGGGGGTGCAGTTGAGGGACTCTGCTGCTCCTCCCACCACGATGATGATGGCATTGCCGCTGCCGTTCTTGGACAAGATGTAGTCTATGCTGTCACGGTTCACAGGACATATACCTGCAATAGTCAGGGGGAGAGGAAGGTCATGCTGCAACCAAACCACACCTGGACGGCTCCGGGGCACCAGCAACACCTCTGGCCTTGACTGCAAGTTGAGCTGCACTCCCAGTGTCCCCACGGTCATGGAGAAGGGCTGGGTGTATTGGCAGGTTCCCTGTTCTTTGACTATGCTGGTAGTCTGATTTGGTGCTGGACAAACTGCATCACCACCAGCTCTCAAGAAGCTGTAGGAGCTGGCTTAGCCTTGGGGTGGAAGCAAACAGCTACATTATTTTGATGGCTACAAGGCTGAGCCCAACCAGCTTCTCAGCAGAGCAAGGGGTGAAATAAGCCATTCTGTGAGGATGCTTTGATGATATGAAGAACTGAGAAACCTTCCTGAGGTGGATCCATCCCCTCCCATGTGGCACTGAAGTCTTTGCAGTGGTACCCTCCAGATCCGGTATGGAATCGTAGGGCATCCCAGGTTGGGAGGGACCCATAAGAATCACTGAGTCCAACTCCTGGATCTGCACAGTACCCAAAAAATCAGGCCGTAGCACAGTACAGGATGGGTAAAGTCAATTAATGCCCTTCAGAAACCTATCATGAGCTAAGACTTGGCTAGAAGGCTGCATTGAGATACTTGTTTTACAAGACAGTTATTGGTGGCGAGTGGTATGGATTATATGGATCATGTCTTAATTGCTCCAGGAGCAACAAACAGTTGACTTCACTATTCAGTTCATGGCCTTTCAAGCCTTACTCCCCTGTCTCTTCATAACTCTTGAGCATCCTTACTCTGAAAGGGATGTTCAGGCCACAGAGAAGCCTTTCCCGGAGGTAACTGACATTATTTCCCCTGCCCAGCCACAGCCTATGAGCCCTTCATCACTCAAACAGTGCAATTCATAAAGAACACCAGAGGCCTATTCATTCTGCAAGTCTGGGGGTTGGACTCACTGATCTCTGGAGGTCCTTTCTAACCCCTGCAATTCCATGATTACGGACCGCTGCCGCAGCCCTGTGACCCATCTGTAGGAAGACTTCCAGGGCTGGGGCTCTTCTCAACAGCTGAAGCCACACAATACCCCTAAACTGCGATTGGATGAAGAGAGCATCCATCATAGGCATAAAACCTACCTATGTGCCACCTCATGGTGTGAGATGCACAAGTAGAACATGTTGTACAGCTATTGACAGGCTGAGGGAGCTGGGCTTGTTCAGCCTGGAGGAGAGAAGGCTGGGGGTGACCTCAGTGCAGCCTGCAGTGCCTCAAGGGAGCCTGCAGCCAGGAGGGGAGTCAGCTCTGTGCAAGGGGAGATGGCAGCAGGACAAGGGGAAATGGTTTGGAGTTGAGGGAGGGCAGCTGGAGGTTGGATGTCAGGGGGAAGTTGTTTAGAGAGAGAGTGGTGAGGGGCTGGAACAGCTGCCCAGAGAGGCTGTGATGCCCCGTCCATCCCTGGAGGTGTTCAAGGCCAGGTTGGATGGGGCCCTGGGCAGCCTGGGCTGCTGTGAGATGGGGAGGTTGGTGGCCCTGCATTGGGGGGGGGTTGGAGCTTCATGATCCTTGAGCTCCCTTCCAGCCCAGGCCATTCTGTGATTCTGTGATTCTATTACACTCATGTTTCAAAGATTAGGGAATTGGATTTGGAGCGTTGGACTCGATGATTTCTGGAGGTCCCTTCCCTACAGTTCCGTGATTCCATATGGCTACCACAGACCTGTGACCCCTGATTCCCCAAAAAAGGGAATCTATGACGCTTCAGACAGTTTTACCTTCACCTGCCAGGACCTCCCACCGCTGACTGGGATGACCAGCTTTGCACATCTGCAACTCCAAGTGCCAGATATCTTTAATATGCCTTTGGACCACAGTGTCTCAGAGCTAAGGATGAATGCAGAGCAGCAGCAGCCCCAGCTGAAAGGCCATCCAGATCCAACCCCCTCCACCTGCAGGGACGTCTGCCCTGAAGGAGGGGCAGACCCCTCAGAGGCTGAGCCACGGGCAGGGGAAGCAGGAAGCTCTTGCACTCACCCCCAGACATTAAGTAATCCCTCAGGATGGGCATCCTGAAGTTCCCAGCCAGGGTTGCCAGGTAGGGCCGGATCCCAGGGAATTTCTGGCTGACTCCCGTGGCCTCTGTGCTGAAGTTGCAAAAGGCTCCCAAGCCCATGATGCCATGCGGATGGTAACCGAAGATGTAATTCCTGGTGGTCAGCAGGTTGTGGGTTTTCACCAGCTGGGAAGGAAAGAGTGAGCTTGCATGAAGGCAGACTTGATGTGGTTTAACAAGAAACAGCAATCAACAAGTCCATGCTACGGTCCTGCTGCTTTTGTCTCCCTTCCCCCAAGACCAGCAGAATGGGCTGCTCTGGAGTTTGGGTTACACTGAGGGTTGCAACTCAGACTTCATGAATAAACAGACAGATCTCAGTCACCAGGAGGACAGACAGCAGCCCAGGGGCAGAGGCAGCCTGCAGCAGCCTGCGCCCTTTGTTCCTCCACTCCTCCCAAAGGTGTTGCTGCAGGCCTGCAGCCCAAACCAACCCAGTTCCTCGCAGTGCTGTAACCGCAGCTACGCCTCCCTCCTGAGCCCTTGGCTCCATAGCAGCTCACACCCCGCTATGAAACGAAAGATCAGCCTCCCATAGCATGAGCAAGTTTGTTTAACAGCTGGAAAAAGTCACTGTTCCATCCGCCTGCTGGGCACCCTCCAGGAAGGAGGAATGCTGGTGGGGTGGCTCAGCACTGCAGGCGTTCAGGAGATGCTGTGCTGAGCTCATGGGACACCTCCACCATCCCCAGCAGCGCTGATTGCTGCAGGATGTGTTCCAGCAGCAGAGAGCACACTGCTCTGGGGTTGCAAACATCCCCTAATCACTCATCTGCCTGGATACCATGGGCACCCCGAAGTGTCCATGCCCTCGTCCCACTAATGCCAGTGGATCTGGAGTTTGTTTTGCACTGTAAGTAGCATCAGCATCGCAGGCATCAGAGCATCTTCCTGAGGCTGTAGGGTGCAGCAGCACTGCTGCATCACCCTGCACCCTAAGGCCCATAGAAACAAGCTGCTAACCCCTTTTCCTCTGTTAAGACAGGAGTAGAGATCACTTTCATTTTTAATGCATTTGGGACCATTTTTGCCAACTGCAGCTCTCAGACCGAGGCAGCACCCACATGATTCAGCTGCACCTCCAGCACCACGAGCCGACCTGCTGCACTGCAGCCCCCAGAGGCGCATGCAAAGGTCCCCCCATGTCAACTCCCACTGGAAAAGGCTCAGCTTTCCGAGACGTCACACCACTGTCCTGTCCAAGAAGCCCTTCAGCAGCAGCCAAATCCGTGCTGTTGAATCACAGAGCTGAAGTCCAATTGCAGCACGCTGGTCCAGTGCCCAGATATTGGATTCCTTCCTCCTGCTGCCCTCCATGCACTATTTTAGACCACAGCTGCAGCATGGCATGACAGGACAAGGGGAATGGTTTTAAAGTGAGACAGGGGAGGTTTGGGTTGGATGTGAGGAGGAAGTTTTGGAGGCAGAGGGTGGTGAGGCACTGGCACAGGTTGCCCAAGGAGGCTGTGGATGTCCCATCCATCCCTGCAGGCATTCAAGGCCAGGCTGGATGTGGCTCTGGGCAGCCTGGGCTGCTGCTTGGCGACCTGCACACAGCAGGGCTTGGAGCTGGATGAGCTGTGCTCCTTTGCAGCCCAGGCCATTCTGTGACATAGCAGTGGGCTGAACAAACTGACTGCATCCCACCACACTTCCCCCGAGCTCAGAGGTCACTTGGGGTGCTTGTGGTTTTGCAGCAGCTCCATAGAGCCCCATGCTCCATGTCATACCAATCCACCCTTTATCCCTTTCTGCCTAATTAGGAGATGACTTCCCCCCAGCTTGACCAGGTAGGGCTCCAAGACTGATCAGAGGGAAAGAAAGCAGAGATGCAGTAAGTGGGGTTCAGCCCCTCCATCCTCAGTTCTTACCGGTAGGAGAGACTCAGAACCCAGGCTCAGAACCAATTACAGAATGACAGAATGGCCTGGGTTGCAGAGGAGCTCAATGCTCATCCAGCTCCAAGCCCTGCTGTGTGCAGGTCGCCAACCAGCAGCCCAGGCTGCCCAGAGCCACATCCAGCCTGGCCTTGAATGCCTGCAGGGATGGGGCATCCACAGCCTCCTTGGGCAACATGTTCCACTGAATGCAGAGCCTGCTCTTCTCCAAAGCTCTTCTTAGAGGCAGGTGGGGGCACTAAGGAGGACAGCCCATCCTCTCCCTGCACCAAACTGTGTCTTTAAGAGGAAGCCACCTGCAGCAGGGAGCTGCACTTATGTCCCTGGAGCACAAGCTGAGCTCTATCAAGCCGGGGTTGGCTCCCACCCCACCACGCTGTGCTGCTGCTGCCATCCCAGGGCAGCACTCAGCTCCAGCCCCTCAGCCACGTGAAGGACACGTGGTGCCCACGCAGAGCCCTTCGCTGCATGCACCCAGCAGGGCCTCAGCCCAGCAGCCCAGCTCCCTCCACCAGTTATAGGGTTACACTCCTCTTGGCACGGGTACCACAGTGGGGCTGGCACAGGACAGGAGGCACGCAGGGAGCCAGCTCATCTGTGATAAGGACAAGGGAAATATCTGCTGTTCAGATATGCTTTTCCTCAGCAATTTGCCCCATGCAGGATTGCCACTGCCCTCCACAGGCTGCCCCATGCCAGGTGGGTTGGGGAGCCTGTCTTACAGCCAACCCACAGGAGAATGCATCTTCCTCCTGCCCATGGAATCCAGGGCAGCCCAGCACCACCAGGCACCAAGTCTACATGGCTGTGCAGCATCTGCAAGCTGTGCTCAGAATGGAATCACGAAGGCTGGAAACGACCACTAAGGTCATCCAGCCCAACCCCAGCCCGTCCCACCACACCACTGCCACATCCCTCAGTGCCACATTCCCACAGCTCACAGAGATGGTGACCACTAACCCACCCAGGCAGCCTGACCTCTCTTTGGAGAAGGGATTTTTCCACTCAAAGTCTTCTCCAGCCCCACTCAGCCCCGAGTTCCCCATAGCCTCAATGCTCCCATGGCAAAACAAAGGCAGTGCATCCCTGCTGCATCCCACCCAGCTGGGACTGAAGCTGGACCTTCACCCTGCTGTGCTAACACACCCAATCCCAGCCTGGGACGGAGCACTTCTCACCAAGAGCAAAGGTCTCTCCACCTGCCCCACTGTTAACACAGGCACATTTCCTTAAACAGATCTAACCCTGTCCACTGAAGCAGTAAAGCAGCACGATTAAGAAAGAACACCCTACTGTTAAATACACTGGAGTGCCAAATACACTCAAAGAACGGCAGTGCCAGCTGTGGGAACAGGAAAGGTAAGGGACATGTGCAAGTGGAGAAAGAGCTGGCAGAGACTGCTGCTGTGCACCAGGAGCAAAGAGCAGAACGAAGGGGAGAGGTTGGGCTTTGCTCTGAGCAGAGATCACTGAAGCATGCAAAGAGCAGAAAATCAGAGCTGCTCTGTCAGGATCTGCATATTAGCTTGCAAAAGGATGGAATGGTTAGCTGCAGCACATCCAAGAGAGTGGTGAGGTGCTGGAACAGCTGTCCAGAGAGGCTGTGATGCCCCTGTGATCCCTGGAGGTGTTGGAGGCCAGGTTGGATGGGGCCCTGGGCAGCCTGGGCTGCTGTGAGATGGGGAGGTTGGTGGCCCTGCATTGGTGGGGGGTTGGAGCTTCGTGATCCTTGAGCTCCCTTCCAGCCCAAGCCATTCTGTGATTCTCAGAGCAGCCTGGCAGGAGCACAGCTTGTCTTGTCCCCATAGCCATTGAGGACAAGATGCACCACGTTTGCCTCTGGACCAGCCTCTCTCCTAATGAAAGAGGGATAAATACGTTACCCAAGGAACTCCTGTGCCCTTCACGAACCCCAGCTGCTCAGGTGGTTGGTACCATTCCCTACAACAGATTACAGGGACGCTTCATCCTGTGGGCACAGTCCCATAACTGCACCTCCAGCACCTCCCAGCCCCACAGCAGCAAGCGTGCTGTTTCCCCACAGGATGCAAGAGCTCTCACCCCTCAAGTTCTGCCCTCTGCTTAACACTTTCTGTGGGGTTCTGTGAACCTTGCACAACTCCACCCCCACAGCCACAAAAGAATTGCAGCCGTGTGAGCCAGCATTTGTCTCACAGCAGAAGTTCAGCTTATCTGTCTGCCCCATCTCATTACTAAACACACTTCACCAACCCAGCTGCGTGCTCTGCTGAGGAGATGCATCATTACAGTGGCCCCTTTGAATCAAATCCCTGGGACAGAACGGCTCTCTTTAACCTTCAGCTGTAGCAAGAAGGCAGGGCTTGCTGCAGTGCATTTAAAACCTTTCTCCTCCATTACAGCATGCTCTTTTCTCCATGACTACAAGACCTACCACCATTGGCAGCCTGTGCAGTCAAAATATTTTCCACGTACACCTACATCACCAAGAATTACCCATCAGCAGTAGCAGGGATTTGCTCACCAGCAGCACATTCCTTCATGTAGGTGTTTCAGGTGGCTTTGGGAAGGAGGAATCCAGCCTGTGCTGATTTGGCTTCCCACAAAACTGCATCCTCTGCCTCCTGAGGTGGCACTATGGGAGCTGAGGGGGTTCATTCACAAGCCTGGCCATGGTGCCTCCCTTTTGCTCAGCCTGAATGAGCAAAGCAGCCTTATGCAACTGTCCTCCCACCTGCACGCCTTTCCAAGAGCATCGAGCTCCCTCCTGCCTCCATTTGCCCTCTGCTCACTCCCAGGTCCTTTGAGGCACGCAGCCCCTCTCCAACACACCTGGGATATCAGGGGAGGAGCAACACAAGCAGAGAACAGAAGCGGTTCCCACTGCTGGGTGCCCACAGCCACGCAGCAGAGGGATGTCAGAGCTAAAGGCACTGCTCCCCACGAAGCAGCACTGCTGGTGCCTGGCATTCCCAGCTATCCATCCCCGTTATGCAGCTGTCAAGCTGGAATAACTGGAAAACAGAGCAGAACTGAGGGAGATTTATGAGCAGGGAGCAGAGACGGTGCCAGGCACAAAGCAGGACTGCTGCACTTCAGACAGCCTGCTACAAGCAAGGCTGCCTCAAGGAGTCTGGTGATGAAAGCACCAGAAGAACCCCTGCAAATCGTACTACCGCAATTATTCATGTCTGATTTCACAAGCACAGCTGCTGCAAGCTGCTCTACTGCATCGTCCTGCTTGTAAGCCAATGTCACAGATAGAACCACGTGCCCAAAGTCGTCTCCACGGCGGATATTACAACTAAGTCTGAAGCATAAGACCCATAGCACAGAGTTCAGCTGTTACTCACTCTTATTGGAAAATAATCCCTGAAGTACCTCCATATAGCCCAATTTCTCACCCACTGGGATCTTCTTCCACCTGAAAAGGAAAAGCCATGTTATCAGAGCCATTGGAACAGGTTGCCCAAGGAGGCTGTGGATGCCCCATCCCTGCAGGCATTCAAGGCCAGGCTGGATGTGGCTCTGGGCAGCCTGGGCTGCTGCTTGGCGACCTGCACACAGCAGGGCTTGGAGCTGGATGAGCGCTGTGCTCCTTTGCAGCCCAGGCCATGCTGTCATTCTATCATTTGCAGCAGCACAGACCCCATGGCAAAGCCCCATCCAAGCTGCCATGCTGTCACCTGGGCCGTGCAAGCTACTGAATATCAGTGTAGAGATTTCCAATACACAGTTAGACCCTAAATCTCATTGCAAACCCTAAATCCGTTGCAACAAACCAGCAATGATGTAACTGAATATTGTCACTGCATTACCATCAGCACCGATGAAGCTGGGGGCACTGCACAGAACAGTGCTTCCAGGAGGAGACCCAGCCGAGTCCCACCAAGAGGGGAAGGCACCCATCACAAGGAAGGGCAGCTTTGCCCTAACAGGAAGATGAGGATACAGATATCAGGGGCCAAGTGGGCACTACTCACCTTTCTTTGGTGTATTCCAGTCGAACACCAGCCAGGCTAAATACAGAGCAGCGATCGCCCAGCAATCTGTGCACAGGATGTACATGAGGATTAAAGTGCAAGCAATACCTGGGCGTGTGGAAGGAGAAAACAAGGTGATGTCAGGCTGTGGTCTGCAGAGAGCATTCCTGCTTGCATTAAGAGCTGCAGTGCAGATCCCATACCACTGCCTACACAGAATTCACTTGTTATGCACTAACATTGTCCAAAAACTGAAAAGCTAAGAAGCTTCGCTCCGGGCCAGAGGGCGCTGCTTACCCATGACGAGGAACGTGAGGACCCACTGCAGCACGGAGATGATCTGCAGTTGTTTCTCTACTTTGGATTTAGACAGCCAGAACAAGTCCTGCAGAGCAGAAAGAATGCTCGACCCCGTACCTACGGACAAAGCCAAAAGCAAATCACATGGCGTACTGCTGGAATGGGCTCCAAGCCTGGCTGGGTACCCACCCGTGGCCACAGGCACCTCCAGACACTGGAACAGCCCTGTGAGGTGGAGATCAGCCCCTGCAGACCACAGGCAGGCACACAGCGGGCTGTGCTCACCCACCATTGCTCAGTGCTGTGCTCACCGCGAGACCCAGCAAGGGAAACGATGGTGGTTTTTCTATGGCACGGAGGAGGAGGAGGTGAAAGCCGCTTCCAGTCAATAAACAGAACCCAAAAAACGTGGTTCCCATGAGGAACCACCTGCTGGGTGCTAAAGATGTGCTCAAACACCTCCAGGAAGCAGCACTTGCACGGAGGTTTTCCTTCGCATCTCGTCATTACTTTTACTATCTGTAAGCCCTATAATTGCTGGCTGGAATGCAAAGCAAGCTGTCAGCCTGGGAGCAAATTAGGAGGTGTGCTGACATACTTCCCTCCCTTCTTAAGGATCAGCCTGTTATTAGAAGGGATGCTGTGCTGCTAAGCAGCTATTATGCTGAATGGGTGCAGCCTTGGCTAACGAGAGCCACTGCTGCAGCTCTTCAAACAGCAGAGTACCTAAGCAGGAAAGCTCAAATCCTGCAGCAATCCACATTGGGCCACAAATCTCCAAATCTCATAGCAAGTCAGCGGGCAGAAGAAGCTGTCATGGCTGTGGAGGGGCAACAAGCCAGGAGCTGCGTGCTCCTGGAGCTGCAATAGAGGTGGTCCCAGAAGGGTCATTTACAACAGTCCATGTGGATGGACCTCCCAGATGCCAGCTTCCAGCACGCTTCCAGCAGTAGGGATGTGGTCAGGGACACTGCTGCATCCTCAGCATAAGTCCAAAGTGTCACAGATGGCCTGTGACCCATAACAGGAGCAAAGCCCCACCTCGTTTACCCTTGGGGCACCTGCTGAAACACCCATGGATGGAGGAACCCGGCACTCCAGGTCCAGACCAGTTAAGTTGTATAACCTGAGCCATCCTACGGAGCACCAACCCATGGACCATGAGGGGCTGCAGGGCCACCATGATCCTCCCCTCTGCCTCCTCAGCTCTGGGCTGAACAACCCAAGGGACCTGAGCTAATCCTCACACTTTTCGCCCTCCAGACCCTTCCCCATCCCTGCAGCCCTTCTCTGGATGCCCCTGAATAGCTTCAGCCCTATGGCCAGTTTTATAAGGCCTGTCAGACTTACCCATGTCGAAGGATGAGGCAGACAGACTCCGTACACCCCAGCCTCTGCCATCCACTTGCATCAGGCTTTCCCCAAAGGAAGATGTTTAATCCTACAGAAACACGTCCCCCCCCATTTTCTGCTGCTGAAAATGCTGTCTGTGTGCTGCCACCCTGTTCACCCCAGAGTGTTTTCCAGTGTCCTCAATGGCAGCCGGTTCCAGAACTGAACAGCCTGGCTGTTAGGGGTCACACCCATAGCAACCCACTCCTGTGTGTAGAGATTCCAACAACTTCCCTGCCCTTATGTGAGATCCTGAGCCTCTCAACTCATTTCATAGCTATCGAGTTGGATATTAGGGACATTTCTTCTCCCTAAGAGCCGTGATGCAGCGGCCACAGGCATGTGGTGGGGTCACCATCCCTGGGGGTGTTCAGTAACTGTGGAGATGTGGCACTGAGGACATGGCCAGTGGGCATGGAGGGGTGGGCTGGGGATGGTGGAGGTCTTCTCCAACCTTAACGATTCCATGATTCCACGGAGGGCTGATGGGACACGAAGCCATACTGTGGCTCTGATGCCACCAAGGAGCTCCTGGAGCTGCTGAAGGGTCTGAGTAGCTCAGATCCCTCGGGTTGTTTAACACCCAACTGCAACAGGGACACAGCTGGTGTCCTTCCAGCACGGTTTGTTTCAGGTTTATCTGGCTTTACCACGGTTTATCCAGGCAGGGAGGCAGACCCAAAGGCTCCAGGAGAAGAAATAAACAGGACGTCACGCTCGGGCACCAGAAAGCTCAGTCTACAGCACAACAACAGCAGCCAAACGAATGAGCCATGAGGAAGTACAAATGTTACAGATAGTTACAAGCTGGAAGCTTGCTAAAGCCAGGCTTTATCTCATGCGTTCACAAGACAATTAACACATTCACACATTAACTCTCTGCCAAGGACGACACTTCACCACACAGCTTCCTTGGATGCGAACTGATGCTTATTTAGATGGAAGATGCGGCGCTGGTTGGTGGGCATGGTGATGTTGGGTCAACAGTTGGACCGGATCACCTTAAAGGTCTTTTTCAACCTTAAATGATACCATGAAGGCTGAGCCCCTCCAGAGCACAAGGTGCCCCTCCATATCAGAAATGAGGTCTGCCCGACCCCAGCTACATGGCAGGACCAACTCCGAGGTACAGCTGAGCAGAACTGCCTTCCTTCCCCACCCCAAAGTATTCTACACCGTGGTTCCATGTTGCTAAAGTTCAATCTCAACTGAAGCTCTTAGCCACAGATCAGCCAACGCAGAGGAGCAAAGGTACTTCTCTGAGATAAAATGGGATAAGGAAGGAAACTACAAAGAAGGACAACCTTTAATGCTTTGACGCCAGCATCCTCCCTGCTGCTGTGCCAGAGAAGCAAGGCGGCACCTCAGCAGCTTATGGCCAAAGTGGGTCAGGTCAAGATAAGACAACAATCCCTCACTGAATCATTCAGCTTGGAAAAGCTCTCCAAGATCCCCAACCCACCCCACCCTATCATCCCCACTGCCCATGTCCCTCAGTGCCACATAGAATGGCTTAGAAGGGACCTCAAGGATCACGAAGCTCCAACCCCCCACCAATGCAGGGCCACCAACCTCCCCATCTCACAGCAGCCCAGGCTGCCCAGGGCCCCATCCAACCTGGCCTTGAACACCTCCAGGGATGGACGGGGCATCACAGCCTCTCTGGGCAGCTGTTCCAGCACCTCACTGCTCTCTCTCTAAAGAAATTCCCCCTGACATCCAACCTCCATCTGTCCTCCTTGAGCTTAAAACCATTCTCCCTGGTGCTATCACTCTCTACTCTGTAAAAAGTGGATTCCCCTCCTGTTTGCAATGCCCTCTTAAATACTGGAAGGCTGCACTCGTGTCTCCTCCACATCCCCACGGTTCCTCTGCATACACACACATGGACGGGCAGGCAGGGAGATGCCATCACCCAGGCTTTTATTGCGTTGTTCTGGTTGTTTTGTTGTCAGAGCACAGCGACTGAACCCCGGGCCCTGGAGGGACACAACCAAGCAGCACCGGAGCTGCCACGCATGGAGCACCGCACCTCTTTGCCTCGGCCCATCTTTGAGCTGCAGGATGCCAACTGAAACCCACAGACCAGCTCTGGCAGGAGCCTGCTGCCACACTCAACAGGTGTTCAAAGCAGCCCTGCGTTGCATTGCTTGGGATGGGCCATAGAGCTGCATCCGCAGCCATGGGGTAAATCCACCCCAAATCGCTGCAGGACCCCCATGAGCCGCCCCAGAGCAAAACTGGCCCAAGGAGAGTAAAGAGCTTTCCGCCACTAAGCGGGATTATCTAGAGATGAGGCCAATCACTGTCCCTAACCCACACTCCATTTTGAATTATGCACGTGTCCTAGATCCATGGCCAACACAGCAGGGCGGCCGCTGAGGTCTGGGGTCAGCCCTACATATTTTATAGGTCTCCTGAATGATTTATTCTCAGCCCTTGGCTCGCAGTTAACTCTCTGTTTAACAGCTCGCGTGCTCTTAATTCAAGTGACCCATTCGGCCTCTGCACGTCGCATCCACGTTGCCTTAAGGACAGGAGATGGGAGAGGGAACACAGGGAGATGTGTGGGATCAGCTGCGAGCTGCTGGGAAGGCAGATCTGTCAGCCCCATAGCCCCATATCCACGGGCACACATCCATAGCGGGGTTTTAGACACGGAGGTGGGCAAAAGCAAGAGCACAGTGGATAATTCACCAGGTTCAGCACCTCCGAGCTCTGCTAATGAGTCCTTTAATCAACAAGCCAAACCATTCCCCATCTTTCCAGCCCAGGAGGAATTACCAGCCTGCTCTTTGGGGGCAGCAGCCTTCGGCAGCACAGACGCAGCCACAGCTGAAGGCCCTTCCCAGAGCACGGTGTCAACGCTCTGCCAGCGCACTCCACTCTGCCTGCAAGCCCTGACACATCTGCAAAGCGTGGCCACACGCCTCCGTCACGCAAACGCTTCTCAGCACTCCTGCAAGACGCCCTGAGCTGCAGGCTCTACTTCCTACTCACGTCCCCCAGCCGCCCCGCAGCAGGAAGCGCTCGGTGGCCGCTCGGTGTCACCGCGGTCGCCCAACTTGCTCAGCTCTCCCAGGAAGTCCCTTTGCCAACGCACAGCGCCGCAGGAGCAAACAGCTGCACTCCGCGACACAAACCTCGGTTTAGAATCACACGGAGCCTTCCGCTCCCCCGCTGTAAAGCAATAAGAAACAGCCACGCGTTTTTCTCTCTCTCTTTTTTTTTTCCTTCCCCCTTCTGTGTTCAACCTGTTGCTGTAAGGGTGGGGAATCCAGCATCGCTGAGCCAAACCCGCAGCCGCAAGCTGAATTCTGCCTGCGTGTTGATAACGCTTCCTTACCTCCAGAAGGGAGGAGAAAAAAAGGACCAAAAAGTAAAGGAGAAAAGGCTCATTTTTAAGCCAACGCCACGCGCCCACGTTTGCCACCCCGATCCGCCAAAGCCGCCTGCAGCAGGGCAGCTCTCCCAGCTCTCCGAGAAGCGAAACCTGCGCAGGGAGCTGCGGCAAAACCCCGCAGCCGCACCTCTCTTTTCCCCATCCTCTCCCCCTGTTGCACGAAGATGTGGGCTCACGCTTCACGCCCCAGCCGACCCCCCCCCCCCCCCCCCCCCCAGGGCCGCCCCGCTCCTCCCCCCGGTTCGGCATCCCCCGGCCCCGCCGCCCCCCGTACCTCGCAGCACCCCCGAGTACGCGGCGATGATGGTTTTCATGGCGGAGAGGATGCGGGGTCCGGCCCGGCCGAGCCCTCGGGATGCAGGGATGGGGGTACGGGGGTGGGGGGAGGGTGGGGAAACACGGCTGTACGGCCCCGGTGCTGTGGGTGTGTGGGGCGGGCGGCGAGAGAGCGGCCCTATATAGCCCAGGAGGAGGAGGAAGAGGAGGAGGAGGAAGGCGGGGAGAGGCGGGGCGGCACTCGTGGTTCCCTCCGCCCTAACGGGGGCTCTGGGTCCTGGCCGCGCTGTTTGCACCCCACGGCCGAGGTTTGCAGGGTGAGGGGCAAAGCCCTATTAGCAAAGCGCTGGGTGGGATATCGTGCTCTCCTTCTCGCCCCACTCGGCTCTGTGCCGGTGTTCGGTGCCCTAGAAGGACTGGGGAGCTCTGGCTCCCTGGAAGCAGTATTAAATTAGTACAAAGGAGAACATCCTCGGAATGTGATTGCCTTCCTGGCTTTGTTCAGCGGGAGTCAGACCTCAGGTTTACCTGAACCACCCACAAAACCCCATAGGATCACAGAACCACTCAGGCTGGAAAAGGAGCTCTGAGATCATCCAGCCGCGCAGCGACCGCCAGCCCTGCCCCGTAACCGCGTCCCTCAGCACCGCCTTCATCCTCTCTTTTTTCTCCTCTCTGAGAGTTTCAAAGCATTCTGGGCAGCCTGGGCTGCTGGTTGGAGACCCTGCGCACGGCAGGGGGTTGAAACCAGGTGATCTCTGTGGTCCTTTTCAACCCAGGCCATTCTATCTGTCTATCATTGTGGCAGTATAAATCCGTGACCATCCAGGTGTCATTTAGCTTTGCCTCGAGGTGTGAGCACAGCTGAGCTCCCCAAGGCTCCTACACGTCTCTACAGATGGGGACAGGTTGGTCTGTCCCAGCTCCCAGACGTAAACCTAGAATTTACAATAGAGTCACATCCGGCCCTGTTGTTAAAGGGGGAGAAGGAACAGGCTGACGACCTCAGTCCCATCTCATCTGTAATTTGCAGGAAGTAAAAAGAATCTCCATCAGAGCAATGCTTGGAAATCCTACAAGGAAAACCCAATGGAAAACAGTGAGCACTCAGAGGAGGGACAGTAAGAACCACCGAAACTCCTCAAGAAGCATTTCAACTTCGGCCTGGCTTTTGGGGTGGGAATGGGGCCGTGCCCTGCCAAGGCAGCAGTTTGCCCTATTGCTGCTGCAACAGCCACTCCTGCTGTCCCAAAGAAACAAGTCCACCAGTGTTTCGCAAAACGTTGCTTTTTCAGCCAGGGGAGAGCTCAGATTGCAAAGTGAGAAGTGAAAGAGTTTTGTATTTCTTTTTTCAGTCCCCTCTTTCGGAGCCGAACTGGCACCAGGAATCCCATTGGGCCGAAGGACGACTTCCAACAGTTGGAACAGCCTGTCGAAATCTGTGTAAAAATGGAAAATTACGAGAGCCTGCCTGAGGAAAGGGTCTTACCCAACAGCTCTTGGATAAGAGCTCCAAAGGAGAGCATGGGATAGAAATCATTAGCCCTGAACTACTGCTGAGCAAAAGGGGAACGACGTGCTGCACGTCTTCTGTTGGCTTAGAGACCCCCGCAGGCAAAGCAAGGCCATGGTACTTTTCTTATCATAACCAAGATAAAGCATCACAGAATCACAGAACTGCTCAGGTTGGAAAAGACCCTAAAGGTCACCAAGTCCAACTGCAACCCAGCCACCCTGCCCTAGCTAACAACCCTCCACTAAGACAGGCAGAAATCAGGCTGCAAGGTGGTGGCAGCATGGGGCAGTGGGTAAGTATTGGTTTGGTGTTAGTGTGCTCTGGGCACATAATCTAACATAATCTGTTAGTGCTGAAGGTTAGGGGTGATCTGCAATGTCGTCTGGATGGATACCCACCATGCTGCACCCACCATGAATATTCTGGATCCCCATAGTTGCATTGCTCCGTATCCACAGCGGGGTCCCAGCCCCAATGGGGCCATGACAAAGGAAAGCTCACAAATGCACCACAACGAAGGGCAATAGCAAAACCCTCAGTGCTCCACGGAGCAGCAGGATTCACAGGAACAGCAGCACTACCACCAGGTTGGGCAGCAGCCCCGTGCATGCCTTGCATATGTGCACTGCAGCACCACGTCCTTGGGAGGAAGGAAGAGTCGAGCATGGATCTGCGAGGACACAGCTGAGCCCTGGGATGGCGGCTGCCACCAGGCTCTCATTTCACCCCTATGAGCCCTCTGACTTCTTTTCCTCTCCCCTTCAGCTCAGGGGAAGATCAGAAAGCCGTCCTGAATGGTGAGAAGCACCTTGGCTCCGTTCCCCACCAGGATAAGTTTTCCCACTAGGAGGACGCTCGTTCAAAGGTTGTTTTTGCAAATGCCCCTGGTTTGTTTTGCTCGGTGCTTACGTTCCTCCCTTGGCACAGCAGGCACACGGCCCTGTCTGTCATTAACCCGCATGTCTGGCAAGATTACTCTTCAACAATAACATCCTTTCAGAGATCCCACTTCTTCTGCACCTGCAAAACACGGACAGGAGGCCGCCCGCAGCTCTGGGCATGCAGCAACAAATCACAGTGCCTTTGGATTCCTTTATTCCCGCTTCTGCTCAGCAGCACCTGGCAGCAAAGCAGCAATGCTCTCTTCTGCAGTCACGTTTTTTAATGCACGTTGGTTTAGGTGATGCCTACGGAAAGGTTTTGAGGCTGCGAGTTGTTTTTCTCTCCCCACTTCCATTCGGGGGCTTACAAGCAAGGTGTGCAGTGTGTTCCAGTGCTTGGACAGCCGCTGCTGCACCGAGCTGTGGTGTTGTTCCTATGTGCTTATGGAGCAGAAAAATGTCCTGTTTTCAAAGCCTAGTGAGGTTCAGAGTTCAGTCTTCACCCAAAGGCCACAAGTTTGGGTGTATGTAGGACACTGCCTGCATTTGGCACGTGCTCAAGTTGAGCTTCTCTGTCTTAGTAATTTTCCTCCTCTAGCTTGAAACATAGAGCCATTTCCCTCTGTTTTGGGATTTTTAAATCCTCTCTTTCCAGGTGCTCTTCTTTCTGTTTTCTTCTTTCTTTCTCCCCAGGGTGGTGGGCACAGCCCTGAGCTGCTGGAGCTCAGGGGGCATTGGGACACTGCTCTGCCATGAGGTTTGGGTCTGGGGGTGCTGCGTGGGGCCAGGGTTGGGCTCAGTGAACCCTGTGGGTCCCTTCCAACTCGGGGTGTTCTATGGTTCTGTAGTTAAACATGGAGGGTTTATAGCTGCCAGAGCTTCCCCATTGACTTGCCTTCATTTCCCCTTTGCAGGCTTCAATCACAGCATCTGAAAAAGACCTTTTTCCTCAGGTTCTCTCCTGCGGCCACTGCCGCAGCTCAGGCACCATGACCATGGCCGACCTGGCCTGTATTTCTTCTGATGTGTGATGAATTTGGGTTGGGAATAAGGGGCTTCCCCAGGTCCTGTTGTGAGGGAGTGGTGTGTGA